AGTTCATCAATCATTCTTGGGATCAAATCAAGATGATTTTATTTGACATACATATGGAGGAGCTGGGCCTGTTAAAAAGCGAGTTTCCTGGTGTGAAGGTGATTTTTTTGTCCCGTTTTTACTGGAAGAAGTATATCAGGTCTGAGATGGCAAAGAGCGAGTATGGTGAGCCGTCTTCTTTTGACAAAGGTCAAGTAGAAGATGCTGTTGATGTGATGCAGCTTGCCACCTTCATGGAAGAGTACGCCAAGTATCTGAAGTACCTCTACTTCTTGTTGGATCGTTGTCGTCTTCAAGCTGCTGATTCCATACCTAAGCCAAACTATTCATTTTTGAAGTAATTCATGAGAAATTGGGACTCGATGAAAGAACTATGAGCTCTATACGCACGGTCAGATGTGCCACACCTAGGCAACCACACCAATAATAGGTAAGCTAAGAAGCTTGATACTCTGTGGTATTCCTCTAACTGTGTTCTGGTTTGCTTTGACTACAGACTTAAGACATCATGGGTGCACATCAAAGAGCTTCTGCCACCGGAAATGGCTCTTGATGAATGCGTGAATACTCTATTGTTTCTACAAGCCGTCGCTGAGATGAAGTACGCGAGAAGAATTACAGCCGTGGGCCAGATGCGCTACGTAGGCGCTGATCAAGAGCTGGAAAAGCTAGCTCGTAAAGTCAGTCCGTACGCATACCGACTTGTGGGAGAACAATATTGGATAGCCAAGGACAGAAAGCCCACTACGAGGGGGAAGAGCTTCATTTGGTTTTGTTTGTGTTAAGGCGAGGTGCCGATGCAGTGCGTCGTATCATGTTGACATGTCAAAACTTGTGCTATACAACGAGTTATTAAACGTGTAGCATTGTTTATTGTGCTTTACGGCTGTTCTTAGCGCTATCGATGTTCCTGTGTATGCATGAAAACCATGTTGCATCCATGCTGTCACGCTATGTATTGGCGCCTGATGCAAGAAAAATCGGTACTTCTAGTTCGATTTCTCTCCCCTTGTTGGAAGCTATCGTACAATTTGAACCAACCTGCTGCATAAGAAGATGCCCCAGATAAAGCGGCATGTACTACATTTCAACTCCGTGACTCGGCCATGCCAGCAAGACGCCACCAGGTTCTGACTGGCTCAACGAAATACAAGCATGCTCCTGAGCGCGTATCGCAGATATCATGAGCAGGAATGGCAGGCATGTGCTTCACGAGATGATAAACGCACTGGGGAAATTTGAGGAGATCATCAAAGACGGTGTACCTCCCTCCATCGGACGAGAGGGTGAATGAGTCGATCCTCTTTTATGGCTACCGTCGCTGATGTTTTCGCCAGCGCTGGATTCTAAAGCTGCTGCAGGGACGCGTTCAGAAACAGATAAGTCAATGGATGAAGTAGTTTGGAGGCCAAGGCCCCCCTACGCAACGGGCCGGTGCCCAAGTTACACGTTCAGTGCCCGCCGCCACTGTAGGCATATATGTGTCTCCAGTCACTTCAGAGGTATCACGAGCTGCACAGTCTGTACTACGATCTACAGGCGATATAAAACCAAGTCGCACTGCGTGTTCAAGACGTTGGGTCTACGGAAAGAGAGCTGTTCCTCGCAAAGAGACTATGTGTCAGCAGTAATTCGTTAGAGGCTTTGCATACGGTGGCCTTCGTGATATCGAAAAGCACCGATCGCGGCCTCCCAGAAGTCCGAAAGAAACAAGTCAATGCGGAATAGAAGCGGCGCGTCGAGCGTGGGAAGCAAAAGGCCACCAAACTGGTACAAGGCACGCTATCACCAGCACGCTGGACAACGATTATTCATGCGGTGGCGCAAGCGGATGCTACCAGATCTTCCTATTTGGGCTGTATTGAAGACGAAGAAGGCGATAGCAGGAATTTACACACCGGCTGGGTACAACTCTGACATTCGATTTGTGTTTCCGAAACCATTTGTGCAGAAATGTCAGCTGTAATCGGCACCTTTTGCAAAAGTATGATGGGAACATGTGCAGAAGATGGTGTTGGTGTAAGAGTCCCTCGTTCCGGCATATTTGAGCACAGAGTTATTGTTGCGATGGATCGATGGCATACTAGCATATAATATTTGTCCGATATCGAAGAAACAATTAATTGGGCAATCAATACTAGCACCAAACGTATATCACTACCCGATCGTCTCGCGGATGGTGTTCAAAGCGATCCTACGTAACGGGAAAATGCTGTCAAGATGATTCTCTCCGTAAAGGTGGACGGGAGACTTCATTTGAAAACGTTCCCTATCATTCGCTTTTAACGTTGTCTAAGAACAATTCAGTGGACGACACCTGCGTGGAACACGAATTAGCTTTACTCCAGCGAAAACATACAAATGTTGCGTCGTCAACCCATTTTTTAGCCTCTTTATGGAACGAGAAATGCAGATCAGTGCCATCAATGCAGGAAATCCATTCCAGGAGACAACCAAGACTATATTGCTGCCATTACACGTCGACAACAACCACTGATGTGGGGCCGTGCTCGACTATGCTGCTTAACCTTTGCAAGCTGTTAGATCGAAATACTATGATGAATGCGAAGATCTTCTGAAGGGCTTATTTGAAGAAATCTGCACACTGATGCAATTCAAAAGAGTCACCGATTCACGCCAAACAGACGTCCCATGCTGTTGGGCTATTGTTCTCATGTTTTTCGGGTGGTAACAAGATGCCGCCAAAACCATCTCTAACACAGATGCGCTTTTTCAGACTTCGGTAACATTAGCGTAAAACAGACCATTAGTAGTGTGAGTTTACGTCAGTTGGGTCAATACTCAACACGACGAATGCACGGACCATTGCTAAAGCCTAGTCGGACATCGCGGCCTCATATTGATTGCATTCATATTTCTCCAACAAACAATAATTGCAATCTTGACAATCTAAATGCTAGATATTGCAATCTGTTGCGCTACATTACATTTTTCAGTACAAAAATAGTCTCGGTCGTTTCACCTCAAACAAAATGATACTTACGAACCTAAGTACGAATCGCGATTTAAGCACTCTTAACGAAAGCGGGGCGTCTCCTCTATCTCTTGAGCCCTTATACGCTACATAATGCTTAAAACCGAAGAAGTTGGGGTCGCTCAAAAATATTATCTCTATTTATGGGCCCTCATAATGACGATACATTTAGGAGTGCTGTGAGCTCAATATTTTTTTCAATTTTAAAAAATTTAAGTGTTTCTTAAAAGCCCTTGCTAAAAGCAATTGAATAAGGGTAGTTTTAGAATTTTTCCGATAGAAGTTTAGCACCAAATGTCACAGTTCCGATTAAGTACGAGCATCAATTGGCCAACTTTACGCTCGATTATCTCGATAACTCTAAATGGTTCGTCAGTTTCATTTTGTTTGACGTATTCCCGCGGCTCAGGTCATCTCTATTTAAACAAAAAACTATTATTAATAGAATGTGTTTTTTTTTAATTCATACAAAGAGAGTTTCTTCTGTTAAACTAGGATTCAATAAAGTTTTAAATATTATTACACCCTATATTTGTCACTACCGGTATGTACACTGGCCTCCAGATTTTGCTTCTTGTTTAAACCACTCGTCTTTACAATCAGCTCCCGAGACGGTGGACGACTATTTAGCTCGCATGATTATTCGAGTGTTTTGCACATAGAATCCAGAGCTTCCCCGTGTGAAGCACGGCATTAGTTTCATAAACAGGAAAACAATCCTGGTATCGATAAAACACGCTCAATTATTCTCCCTTGAGCTTGCCCATGGAGTAAAACGAAACGGAGACGGTCACGCAACATCGCCAATACTACTGTAGGAATAGGGGGTGTCGTATTCATGACAAAAGTTCAGGCTGACAAAAAAAAAGTAAGACTTACTTTTAGAATACTTACCCGCAAGACGTTGGACGTAGACTTTCTGTACCCACTGTACAGTAGTGCACATTCACCCTTTTCATGCACAGAGAGAGATTCGTATTAATAGGGGGAGTCGAACATTGCAAAAAACGTGCTCAAAATTCCCTTCGGATTACGCTCACATTTTTGACAACAATTCAAAGTAAGCCGTGGCTTACATTCAAAATGAGCTTAAATAATCCTCTCTTCCACCGACCGAGACCGGCATGGAAATGGAGGAAGGCGCGTGTATGGCTGCGTCGCTCTGCACCCGTCTCCGGCCAGAAGTCGGTTGCCCCAAGGCGCGTCGTGCAGCACACATGTTGGAGATAGATGCCGCACAGAAGGCTGCACCCATAGCACGGTGACAGTGTAGCCAGTGGCGGCGCCACAGCAGTTCTGTGCGAGTCATCACTTTAGAAAATGCAAATTGTCTCTTCTTAAGTGCGAAATTGAGCCTCAATGTTCGACTCCCCAATTACTGTTTGTGCTCAGTAATTGTGCACTCCTCCGCTTACAAATTGGACACTTCTCTGCTTATTTCTTGGATCATTTCTTAATGTTCGACTCCCCCTAAATACATGTAGTAGGTCTCCAACAGTACAATCTTTCTGGCAACAGTTTAGGGCCGTTTTCCTGAAGATAATGAAACTAAGCAGCGATCACTTATTCAAACTTGTTAGCTTTTTTCAACGTAGGTTCTAAGATTATCTTAGCTAGCCCAGGGGGTCGCAGTTGGTAAACGGCATCGTGGACTTCATGACATCGGTGCGGCGAGTGCTACTAGCTGTTACCAATAAAGAGGAATGCGAAGCATTTCGCCTTCTATTACAGCCTCAAGGATCCTTATCCGAACAAGTCCTGGACCTCGAACTTCTGAGTTCTGAGCCTCCAGCTTTGCCATGTGATGCAAACGATGAAGGTCGAAATAGTTCGCAGTCGCTACTGGAGGATCTGCTGCTTCATTTCACAATTCAAAACTTTAGAGCAGCAGCCGGGTCAGTGGGCGATAAACTGGTTCTAGGCATCGACCCGCAGACGTTGGAGCATTGGGAACAGATAAACGTTCAACAATCTGCAAAACTTAGAAATTTTGTCGAAACTCTGCATGGGTAGGACGTCGAACTAGTTTACCTTGTGTCTACGAAAGTCTGACCGTGATATTGTTGTTTTTGTCAACACAGGTTACTACTGAAGAGTGAGTGGAACGCCGCCAGCATCTCCACGCTCAGTCGTGTTGTCAAACGACTGCAAGATCCTCAAACTCGTCAGCGATTTCTATCGTTCGCCTTTCAAATACTCCGACTATCGTTGCAGCCCAAAACTTCCGAGACGGAGACCAAGGTTTTCGACGAAGCTGTTCGTCTGCTATTACTTGGAGTTACAGACTTATGGTCGGCAATCCGAAAAGACTGCGCTAAGATGGCAGCCTTAATTGCATACGAGTTCTCGTCACTGAGTCACATTGAGCAGTTTATGGACAGTTTGCTGTGCGTCGCTATCGGCTCCCGCAGTGTCAGTACCGACAAATCTCAAGTGACTGCGTGGACTGAACGGGAAGGCGCTTTACTAGCACTCTCTGCTCTTTTACGCTCCATCGAAATGGACTCGACTAGCCAACCCCTTGCAGTTAATGCAGACGTCAGAACGTCTCAGGTTAAAGACGACATCAAAGGCATGTTGGGTATTCGTCAACTGCCCGTGGTAAAGTATCGTTTGGGAGCCAATGGACGGCACACTTTTACTCAACTACCGCGTTGTCTAGTACAAACGTTAAAACCTGTGATGTATCAGTGTCTTCGCCACGATCAGCTCAGTGTTCGGCAGCTCTCGGCGCAGTGCTTGGTGGGGTATGCTTCTCTGTGTGAAGAACCGACACGACTTCTGATTTTCCAGGAAGTGATCAGCAAGTTGAATCGTATCAATCGGAACGAGAAGGTCTCGGAGAGCGACACTGCTGCAAATCCTGACGAAACGGATCTGCTGGATGCCTTTGAAGCTGAAGGTTTACTGGACGTGTTGGCTCGCATGGCCCCGTGTCTCCCTTCGACCTTTCTGCTCAAGCACTGGAAGTTCGTGTTTCCAACACTGGAGAAGTATGTTATGCACATCGCATCGAGTGTTCGTCAGAAGAGCAGCAGTGTTGTGCTGGCACTGGCAAAGCAAAGTCGAAGCGCAACGTCAGGTGACGAGGCCTCGTTGAAGCTGATGGTGCAGATGCTGCTTTCGTTATCCAAGCAGTTAACCGACGAAAGCGGGTTGTGTTGGCAGAGAAAAGAGGGGCGTTTATTGAGTATCGAGGTCCTCATCAACGTCCTGGGGGGAAGTCTGTTGACGTCCTGTAAGCTGTTGAGGTGGAAGCCAGAATCCACAAAATCACGCCAGCGTCAAGCAAGTTCCTTTACTGACTTGCAGACGTTCACGTGGGCACATGATCAAGCTCAGTCGTCCACATGGGTAGATTCAAACGAAGTGGACGGCGATCACTGTGAAAGCAAAGTGGAGAGCGAGTCACTTGTCCACGAGATCAGCGCCTGGGTCGAGAGAAACAATGGTCAGAATGGTTTTCCTGCTTCCGGCCATGACTTCTGGCGACAGGTCTCGCGTGGATTCATCGCACAGACAAAAGAAGCGTTCGAGTCGTCGCAATTTGAGCTTCGCCGCATCTCTCGCCAGGTTCTTTCTGGTCTCCTGCGACTTGTCGTATGGACAGATCAGCTCAACTTCTTCTCGTCGACTGAACTCGTTGCTGAGGAGGCGGAGAGATCGTGGAGTTGGACGTGCGTAAAGAGTATTGTCATGCATTTACGCTATCTAGAAGAGAGCGTGATCGCCTTGGGTGATAGCGTTGAAGTTGCTACGTCACTTAAGCTAACGACGGATTGGAAAACTGTGTGGCTTGGGCTTATGACGTTGGAAAGTGGTGCACAAAGTCAGCCAATCGACACGGAAGCAATGGCGGCTAAAGTGGAAGCGAAGGTAGTCGCATTTCTCAGCGTAGGGCCTGAGGTTGATCCACCTCGACAAGTACCTCGCCTCTTGGACGGAGCATTGCGCCTGATTCACGGACAACTCCCAAATTCTATGCAGATGATTGAGATTGAAGGTCCAACCGTGAGCATCGATACTTCTCTCGATCGCCAGTTTTGTATCTTCCTCGTGCCTCTTCTTCCAGCGGTTGTGAGTACACTGCGAGCGTTGGACGAACGGCACGAAAGGAGCAGTTCCAGCGCCAGTTACGGTACTCCTCCTCGAGAAGCTGACTTGTCCTGGAATTCTCGATGGCTCTGTCTGGAGCGGATCATTTTGACGTGGCTTTCGTGCGATGACATGTTCCGGTGGATCACACTCAGCAAGTCAGAAGCTCAATTTCAACTCTTGGAGAGTCTTAGTGTACTCCTTCACTTCTCGAAGGTCCGTTTATCACCGATAGAAGAGAGCGAAGAAGTCGATCGAATTGTGCAATGTCTCGAGGACACCTTTGCTCATTTCCGACTGCCAGACACGAGCTACTTCTTCTTGATGAACATTTATCTGCAGTTATGGATACGGTGTTTCAAAAACAGCAGCCATGGTACAGTCAAGGTGGTTGTTGCAGTAGCTCAACTCTACAGCCACCGTCAACCGAGTCTTACTGTATTGGACGCTAAGTCTAGTTCGACGGGTCTGAGTGCAAAATCGTGGGACGATTGGGATGGGGATGAAGTGCAGCAAGCATCTCCAGTCGAAGGTTCAAATACTGTAGACTATTTGTTTCAGGAGGTGTTAAATTCTCTCGATATTGACCAGCTAAACCTGCTTCGTGAGGCAGCGCGTCGTCTACCAGATATCGCGGATGCGCTTGGTATCGCGACCGAGCACATTACGCAAATGCAGCATCAGATTGGGGTCTAAGCTCACACTATTTACAAGCATATCGATAATGCACACGTACGTATATTTTCATTCAACCATTAAATCAAGCTTTCAAGTGCTACATCACTCTGTCGTAGCAGCCCTTTAGACTCCATATTCCAGAGCCAGAGCGCTAGAGTCCACAAAAAAACCACATCCACACGCAATTCACAAGGGCTAATAGCACCACTAATACGGATACCACGATTTCCCAGAAAATGTTATTCTGTGCTGTTCCCTGCGTCCTCTGCTCCACGCACAGGTCACACAAAGAATACACTGGTGCGTCTGTCACCTCCTGTTGATATTCTTCGGTCCTAGTTGACTCCATGCCATGTACTTCATGAATATTTGCCAAATATTCTCCAGATTCTCGTAACTCTTCGTCTCCACTGCTTTCATCCGAATTGTCCCTCTCTGTCTCGTAGCTACCTGAGTCCAGTCTCCTAATTTGCGGGCCGTCACTAGTGAAGTAGTCCATGATAAGCAGCTTCGACAGCGAGTCGCCGTCCTGAGCCAGCATTACTGTCGTTCCAAGAGCTTGATCCTCCGTGTCAAACTCGCTGTCTAGTATCGTCTCCCAGCTGCTCGAAGCCATTTTTTTACCGCTCTTGAAGTCGAATTCCATGCTTTATCTATCTAGTCGCCGGTCGAAAGCCGTCATCGAGAGTTCAAACGTCGCGCTCCTGCTTGACAGACTGGAATCTGCTTCAAGATACTTATTTTTCTCATCTTGAAGTGGAGAGCTCGTCACTTTAATTACGGACCACGCGTCCCGTTTTCGCAACTGGTGTAGATGGCAGCAGCTCAGCGCACGCTCCGCTTCGTCTGTGGATGTCGTAACGATGGTACCGAGTCCCCGACGCCTTATCAATGCGTAACGACTGATGTAGAGGCCACACGGAAGCGACAGCGTGTGGATGAGACGTCTATTGTCGAAGTGGGTCTAGTCGAGTTTATTCGCGATCTTGATGAGGCCAATGAAGACAACGACAAGTACTACGGACTGTTTGTATGGCCGTCAGCGCTGTTGCTATCTCGATTTGTTGCTCATGAAGAAAGCTGGCTCTGTCGCGATAAAGTTGTACTGGAATTGGGTTGTGGCACAGGACTTCCATCGATTCTTGCAATGTTATGTGGGGCTGCAAAGGTTTACCTTACAGATCGACCCGACGCAGATGACATTAAGTGCAACGCAGAAGCTAACATCACACTGAATGGGCTCGATGGTCGTGCAGCGTTCATCCCGCTACCCTGGGGAGATATGCACGTATCGGATGAGATCACTTCCATCTTCAGAACGGTACAAGTCGTCCTTGCCGCTGACTGTTTCTACCAATCCCAAGGTGCTTTAACTATTCTTTTTTAACCTAGAACAGTACAACACCTAACGCGTATTTGAACTTGCAGACTTCGAAAAGGTGATCGCGACTGTTGCCCTCATTTTTCGCTGCAGCTCCTCGCCTTCGTGCAAGTTTTACTTCACCTACCAATTGCGCAGTATCAACCGATCGATCGCTCCTTTACTTTCTCGCTGGGGTCTAACTGCCCGATCGATCTGTAAGGATGCGTATATTGACGACTCAAATGAGCTGGACGATAGCTTAGGTCAAGACTTTGACAGTATCTATCTCTACGAAGTGAAACTTCAAGGCTAATTGGGTGGCTCAGATTCGCCTTTTAACTTGTATCTGTCACAGTTCCCTAGCGATAACAGTATTTCCCAAGATTGGGAAATGTTCCTCCCACGATCTAGAGAGCGTATGCGTGGGGCTCTCGCAGTAGCCTCTTCAGCCTTTTCAATGGGAGATTTACCGTTGCTTTTCCCCAACGAACAGCAGATCCTCTTGACACGAGTGAGACCGTGGAGCTCTAGCATCCACTCGCTAGTACAGGATCGCCAAGTAAATGTAACAGGGGTTAAACTCACGGAACTCGAGAGTACAGTATCTTCTATCATCATGGCCACCACCAGTACGTCGCCACTTTCAGCTTCTAGAAAATGTCATGCCTCACATCGCTGCACCTCCCATTGGTCAAAAGAGCAATTTCTATCAAACCAATCACACGCTGTTGCGTATGTGGACATGAAGCTCACAACACAATTTAAATCTTCCAGCATGTTCGCTCGAGTCGCTCGCGTCGCCTCGCTCACTGCCGTACGCCGTACGCCCTCCATGGGGCTGCGTGCGTTGCAGACTCGCGAGAAGGGATCGTTGTCTACTTTTCTCAAGGTATGGCGAAAATTTGGAGTAAATTTGCTAGATTTTAGCATGATCACAAATGCTAATACTTTGCGATACTATTCCGCTGTCTCGCCTTTTGCAGCGCGAGATCGAGGAGGAGAAGGCCAACTGCTTCGAAGAGGAGGAGCTGGAGAACCTGCGTCTTAAGGTCGAGAAGGCTTTCACGCTGCAGGAGACTCCTGGCTGCATGGAGATCGTTCTTAAGGGCTCTGTGGGTGCCGAGTCGATCAAGATCAAGTTCAACGCTCAAGACACCGTCGAACTCGAGGAAGAGGAGGAATATGATGACGAGGACGAAGACGAGAGCAATGACACGGACGAGGACTACGACGAAGACGAGGAGGAGGAGGACGAGCTCCCCGGTATCCGCTTCACGGCCGACATCACGCGCGACGATAAGGGCATGCAGTTCGACTGCGTGGCCAGCAGCAACCTTACGGTGGAGCGCTTGCGCTATCTGGACGACTTTGCCAAGAACGCCGAGGACGAGACGCTGTACTTTGGCCCCAACTTCATCGACCTGGAGCTGGACGTGCAGGACCAATTCTACAGCTACCTGGCCGAGCGCAACATCGACGACGAGTTGGCGCAGTTTATCACGCAGTTCGCCGACTACAAGGAGCAGCGCGAGTACTTGGCCTTCCTGGAGGACACAGAGACGTTCATCAAGCACTAAAACACACACACACGTTCGAGAGTGTATTGTTGCATAAGTACAGGTGACCAAATCAACCGTTTAAAAGCCGCACTACGCTCCTATTTGGCAGTTAAGAGTCCTCTTCTGTACAGAGACTACTGCCTGTGTCTAACCTTGCATTCCAGACATGACATTCTGCATGAGCTGGGAGACCTTGGGGTTCGACATGTGACGCATAGCAGCGGACGGGCCCTCGCTGTCCACGTCACGGAAGAAATCCGCCAAGTCCGGGTCCGATCGCGCAGCCACGAGCTCAGGGCTGTTCATAAGGCCGCTCATGTCGGGCATCCCACTTGCTGCACCTCCAGCAGCTGCAGGAGCGTCTCCGCCAGCGCCACCAAGTCCACCCATGAGGTTGTTGAGCATGTCGGGGTTCTGCATCATGTTCTGCGCCATCTGCATCATCTGAGGGTTCTGCATCATGTTCTGAGCCATCTGCATCATCTGCGGGTTGTTCATGAGGCCGGCCAGGCCGCCGCCGCCGCCTCCGCCCAACATACTGGCCAGGTTCGACAGGTCCGGCATGCCGCCAGCCCCTCCGGCCGAAGCTGACGCTGCTGGCGTCGTCTGCATCTGACGACGCTTACGTTCTGCATCCGCCAGTCCGTCACGACACGCAGCATTCGTGCTATCCACTTCCAGTCCACGTCGGTAGGTGTCGATGGCGCCGTCAAAGTCCTGAAGTTGCACTTGTGCGCTGCCCATACGAGAATAGGCCTTGACGTACGACGGCTGGAGAGCGATCGAATGCTCGCAGTGGTCAATCACCTCCGTGTGCTTACCCAAGTACATCAACGCCGCAGCCAAGTTGGAGTGGTAAATGTGGGACGACGGGCCGTCAGACGACAGCTGCAGCGCCTCACGGTACAGTTTGGCTGCTCCTTCGTAGTCCTGACGACTCAACGCTGCGTTACCCTGAGCCTTCACTTCTTCAGCCTTAGCTTCCTTCTCTTCTTTATATAAATCCGGCTTGACGTCGCCGAATTTCTCCTTGAATTTGGCCAACGCCTTGTTCGTACGTGTAGCGTATTCGCCGGAGCCAGGTGCAGCGTCCTTGAAGAAGCCCTTGCTCTCCAGCTTGGCCAGCCACTTCTTCCACAGCTCCGGGTCTACAGCGGTACATCAATTATTAGCCAATCCGGTATTTTCTTCATTCAGATGCTTTAATAGTTGTGCCACGTACGCTTCTTCACGACTGGGTCTTCGTCTGCCATCGACTTGGTCTCGCCTGGCGCACCGGTCTCCAGATTCAGCGCTTTGAGTCCCGCAGCGAAGATTTCGTCGAACGAGGTGTCGCCGTTGACTGCCAGCTGTCGTTTCTGTTCTGCGTCGTGCACGTTCATGCCAAACGCTTCACTGGATTGTGATAGAAATGTAAGTTAGAAACGACTGAGTGATTGGAACGGAGTATTGCAGCTCATACTGCGAATTAGAGCGTGAAAATTACGTGAGGCTGGTGAGGGCCGCGTCGACTTGCTGGGAGTTCACACCATCGCGTGTCTTGAGCGCGTCCACCCACGTCAGTGCGTTGAACAGCGTTGCTTTACTTGAGCTGTCCATGATACGCGAAGTAAGTCAAATTCTCCCTTTTTCTCGAAGCCAAACCAAATGTTGTCTTCTGGTTGGTTAAAATAAGACAAATTGAGAGGTTAAGATTGGCTAATAGCGTTAGCGAATCAAATGCCGCCGTATTTGAAAGATCGGAGCAATTCAACAAGTATGGCTACATTCTACAGTAGATACGATGGAGGCAGTTAATGCGGAGGCGATTCTAGAGCGACGTCACGAGATTCGCACGAGTCTGAGAGCTGTGGAGAACTCGCTGAGAGAAGCTGGAGCAGTCACAGACGGATACAGCAGCGCGTACTGGTTAGAACCGCCCCATGCTCATGGGGATAGTCGTCCTTTGGTCTCGCTCTTCTGTCGACAGGTTGAGCACGTTTCCAAAGCGACTTTGGCTCGTCTTGCAGCCCATCGCTTTGATTTCGATCCCCCTGATCCAGTTCGGTATTATTGGAGACTGACGCCTCTAGGTGAAGCCAAATGTCGCCGGATGTGGAGTCTGTTTGATGATGACCGGGACGGACAGTGGACCTACGTAGAGTTTTGCGAGTATATGGCAGCGTTAAAATGCTCGACGAACTCGGTCGAGTTGAGAGCATTTGAGGACAGCGCAGAGACGTGGAGGATGTATATGAGTGATATGTGTGAGCTAAATGAGGAAAGAAAGCTCACGTTCGAAGGCTTTAAACGGTACCGAGAGCTGATTGAAGACGAGCAGCCACTGGAACGAGATTTGACAACTTTAAATATTTCGCTGGAATGGGAAGAGCTCGAGAGGGTGGAGATAATGAAGCAGCTCTTTGACGAGTATGTTGAGGGTGATCCGATGGGTACAGTGACAGCTAGAGCAGCACAATATCTACTGGCGGAGGTTGGGATTCCACTGACAAGTGAAGAGACGATAGAAATTGTAGAAAAAAGATACCAACATGCACGATGTCAACGCTTTATTCACCAGTTAAAGCGTACGTTGCGGCTGTTTGGATATCGGCAGAAGTCAGCATTGCAGTTTACGACCGAAGGCCTCTCTAACAAGACTGGACACAATGAGGAGCAACCTCGAATCTGCAAGGTCGGACTGCTGAGTCTCGTGTTCTCGTCGTGGTCTCCAGCTGTGAAGACCGTAAGTGGATTTCTGGGCTTTCTTTGCGTGGATAATCTAGCTGAGTTTTGAGGTACTGTGTAGTATTGGCGGCGATTCGTTTTGCAATGCAGGTTACAGTCTTTCAGTGCCTTGAGACGACTCAAGCGACGAGTTCACTGGGTTTTCACATGTGTGCGGAAAGTAGCAGCGACGGGGATGCTCTCAGCGAGCTGTTTGCAGTCGCGTACGCCTGGAAGCGACCGCGGCGACTACATGCTGAAAATGGAGATTGGACCCACGTTTGCTACAACTTCAAGTGTCCATATCACTTACAACTCGGATGCCGATTGTACGTATTTAGTGTAGGATATGGGACGTATTTTATAGCACTGAAGCTGACTAGATCGTGTGTTTTATAGCTGCGGCTACACTGCATGAGCTTAATTATCTCGAACGCGGTGCTGAGTGCTTCCTGTACATTGATGTAGCCTGTCGGAGCGGCATGAAAGGTTCGTTCAATAGCGCTGGGTGTGTATTATGTAATCTCAGTCTGTGTATTTTATCAGAAAGCGATTCTCATCTCCTGGTTGACCGGATAACCTGGTTCATTGGAGAATATTTCCGCGATCATATCGAGTCTCTGCCATGTTTTCATCGCTGGTTTGTCTCGATACCGACAAAGCAGCAGCTACGTTTGGGACCAACAAGCAGCAACGTTTCTGCGACACCCTCTGTGGTGATTCGACTGGTTATTCTGTTTACAGGCAAGATGGATCTGTACCACGTGATGCAGTCGCTCGGGTTGCCTTCGTCGATGCAGTTCGACCACCTTCTCCAGCGCTTTTCTCTACGCTTTCTATGCAGCCACTCCCTGGAGGATATTCTGGTGACGAAGAACCTGAATCTCGGAGCCCAATGGTCTTGTCGAGCTCAAATGGACGTGCGTTTGAACCGACAGGCTTGGGCTCAGATCTTCTCTCAAGTGGCGTATCATCTCGACGCCGAGCTGACTCACGAGCATGAAGATGCCGAGTACATAGCACAACTGAATGCCGAACGAGAAGAGAACAAAAAGAAATCGCCAGTGCCGAACCAGCGACGATCACCGGCGGGAACTCGCTCAGAAGAGGAAAATCTTCAGGATCCGGAGCTTGTGGAGAGTAAAACTGAAACTCGTCGGCTTTCACTGATCAAATCGTTTCGTCGCGTGGCTTCCACACTTCAACATTCAGCGCACGTGAGCGCATTGTGGTCGTTTACCAATCTGAGCTCTGCACTTCGAGAGAACCCGTGGTTTCGAAGTGTGCTGTCATCTGAGTGGTTTGAGCTGCTCAAGTTTGTGTTTAATACTCCCGGTGGACTAGCTCAGAAGTGGAGAGCTACAGGAGACTCCCTGCGTGCTGAGTTTGCGGATTCTAGCTATGCGAGGGCTGGAACTAGGACGGCACATGGACATCAGTCGACGTCACGAGCCGCTGAAACACCGAAACCTTTTGAGACGCCAACGACCAGCAATTTGCAGTATGAACAGAAGTCAGCAGCTCATCAAGGCTACGACCCGAATCCGCCAGCTTCAGAATCTACTGAAGAAAAGAGTGAGGAGCATTTGTTGCTGGAGTTTTACGACCTGTGCGCTCGACATCTCGAAGGAGTTCACATTGTGCACGCTGAGGCTGGTACGAGTGGAGTCACGTGCATTCTTGAAGGATGGAACATTTTCAGCTTGCTGCCAAGAATTTATCAGGGTCATCTAGCTAAAAGGGTGTCCTTAAAAGGGTGTCCTTGACGCGATCTGGTACGTTCTTTTCGCGGCAACCAAATTCCAGCCGATAAGGATATTTCCACACCACAGAGGATTGAACTACTATGTTTTGATTGTATACCGGAATTTCTTTTCTTACATCAAGCAGATCAGACTTCGGTCTCAACAGAACTATCACGCCATGAATCGTTGGTGCTGCCCTTGGAAGAAGCCAAACCAAAGGTCCAAATTTATCATCACCTCTGCCGGCCTATATACAATTACATTATGTAGTAGTAGTACTTCAAAGTAGTATGTACTACATAGTATAAATTGTACTACACAGCAATGAGCGAGAGAAGTCAGGCTGTAGGGGGTTAATCAACAGAACATCCGCTATGGTGTTGGTGCTGGCGGTGTACGTTTGGCTGAGAAGTTCGTCACTCTTCAGTCTTTCTTACGTCACTACGAGTAGAGCGAACAACACTATCAAATGGAATGGCGGATGGTCAGTGTAACTATGACAAAATGTGATGCTCACATAAGGAGGAGAGACCAAAACGGTCCTCACTCCTTTCACGAAGTAACGAATTAGCTATCTTCACTCCATCGCGCCCACACTGTACATACACCAATGTAATAGAAAAGGACGGCACGCAAACACAACATGCACGATGCTTGTCTTCCGCCCGCTGCAAAATTGATACTGACCGAGAGGGAGGAGTGTCGGCTGAGCTGACTGGCCAGCATTGGCCGAATGATTTTCGTGTTTGGTACACAATAAAACCTGTAAGATTGTATCAGGTCTGATTTCTGCCAATCAGTCGCTTTTTCGTTTTGACCAATCATATTGAACAATAAAGTACGTCTTGACATGGCGGAAGATCGACTTCATGTGCTGGACATTGGCGTGTCTGTAGAGGCTAGCGCACGCATAAAGCCTCCGATTCAAGACGGTGACAGCCAACTGATCTCTGTATGCCATAAGAATCACGTAATTGCGATCGCAAACGGCCGCTTCGTCGACTTGTACGGCATTTGCGCTAATAGCTTACATCCTTTCACGTTCCTGCACCAAATCTCCATGTCAGACCATGTAACTCGCCTCCGCAGCTCAATTATAAACAATGACGAGTCCTCAGGTCTGAGAAGTGCAGTGGCAACCTGCGTCTCATTCCCCGTTCCCGGCTTTCTGCTAGTTGGGGCTTTCGTGGAAGTTCCGGTATCCGAAAAATCGTCAACCGATAAAACTGCGACTCCGGTTTTACTACTTGGATTCAGATTGTATGCGCGATCTGTTACTCAATATACCAGTGCTATGGACGGCGAAAAGACTCGTGAACCTCCAGCCTCCGTTCAAGTTTACTTTAGCTTCGTGGAACCCGTTGTGGGGGCCGATGGAAGGTGTATCCGGAGTTTGCAAAGCTTTCGACATGACATGACACCAGATGCAGGGTCTGTACTGGTGCTATTCGAGGACTCTAAAGTGTTTGGAGTGCTTAGCTGGAAAGAGCGATTTAGTGATCGACAGGTGTGTCTGGCACAGATAAAGCAGCAAACGGGTAGCTTGGTTATTGCGCAGTGCAGCCAAGACGGTCGATACGCAGTACTTGGAGACGCTGGAGGACGATTATGTCTGATCGAGTTCAGAGACTTTTCACGTGCTGGTAGTGCAACGAACTTGAAAGCGCAGCAACTTGTGGGTAAGCGGCTGGAACTGAAGGCGTGCTCTCGCTCTGGAGTGATATCGCGTGATAATCCACTAGAACGCGTCCGCGTAGCTCATACGTTAGCATCCAGTGGGATGGACTGTGCGTATACAAGTCTCCGGTGGTGGATGTGCAGTATTCAAGACCAGCAAAAGCAATTTATCCTTGCTGGTAAACAAGATGGCTCGTTGAATGTACGTGGCTGCAAATTGCTATATCGAAAAAAAATGTGAAGAAATTACAAAAAGTTGCGCTTACCGGTAGATCCTAAAACTCATTCAAGGAAGTGAAGATTCGAGATGTGCCAATGAATTGAGACTAGTTCAGGTTTGACGAATTACATGGTTGCAACAAGACTGTGGCTTAATGTTATCCATGTTGTTTGACTCGGTCAGATGTATCCAGGCTTAGCGTCGGGCACGCACGATGCAGTTCGAAGCATCTCAGAGCCGATCAGAGTTGTTGCGAATAACGCGGTGGATGGAACTTGGTTTGAGCTCTCAGTAGTATCCGAAATGCGTTGGAGGACTTGGCGGATAAAGATTACAAAAGTCGACGGCGAATTGTCCAAAAGAAATCGCATGACTTGGCCGTCAGTGAGAGACTCGCTTGACTTTCCGTCCTTTCCAGTAAGTATTTCTAACCTCAGCTGCTCTAAACGATAAGATAATTACTCATATGTTGCTGGTACGTGCAGATCCAAATCCAGAGCGTGAGCAGCATCGTTCTGCTACCGAAATCTTCTGAGCTGTCGAAAGTTGTCGCCAAAGTTCTAGCGGATTCAGCGCCAGGTCACTCTCCGCGGTACCCGGTCTCAATGACTATAGCTGCCAACCGTCTACAAGTTGTTGGCCTGCTAACAAAGTCAGCAGTTGAGTCGGGTGAACCCTTCGCAAAGACGGAAAGGGAATTATACGAGCACGTTGAGAGTGAAGACGAGGTTCAAAAGAGTGAGCTACATGTAGAAGAGACCCAAGAAGAAGAGACCGTACTTGAAGAGAGACAGCATCATCCCTCGGAGCCTACGACGATTCAAGACAGGTACAAACTTCCTCCAATGGACTGGAAACCACGAACTTCTGCTGCTAGCGTGAAGGACGATTGGTCCTTAAGAGAAAATGTCCAGAAAGGTGTGTCGACCTCAAAGCTCAGTCGCGTAGATTATAATGAGCGCGTCACGTCTGTGATGCAACGCGTGGCGCAAGTGAGCGACGTCATGAAGTCGATGCGAACGTCTTTCCAACTCTTTTCGAGTGACGTCCAGCAGCACTTGAATCTCATTTCGGAACAGCTCGAAGAAATTAATCGCCGACGAGTCACAAGAGAAACGGTCCAATCTTCTTTACGCAGTGAACAATTAGCAGACGATGGAGAAAAGTTACCTACAAACGCAAGCTGAGATGGCTCGCTTTGGTCCTGGAACGAGTCGTGACAGTGATCATGGCTCCAACAACCAGACTGTGATCCCTCACGTAGCTGACAAGTACGACCCGGATCATCCCGACGCAGACTGGGGCGGCTACGTGCGTCGTTCGTACAAGAAGCGCTACTACACGAATCAATCTGGAGTGAAAGATGTACGATCCTACATGTCTGGCATTGCTTTGCTCTGTTGCTAATATCATGAGGTAGAGTCTAACTCACGACGAGGAAGGCGGCATCATGCCTCGTGACGCAGCCGAACGATTAACAATCTCCGGAAAGAAACTGTTCGAGCCTCAGCAGAATCCTTCAGACGAACAAGCGCCGGGAATTCCTTTCCAAAGTGCCGTATACCAGGTAACAGTTGTCAGATCTATACACTTACCAGAAGGGGAAACTGAGCCACGCCTTCGTCTGCAGGTTGGACCTGGTAGTAATGTTAGCGCCAACGACTGGAAAACGTAGGTGAAAAGCAGCTATCAAGACAAAGTTTATAGGCTGACGACGATGTGTTTCTGGAACTAGATCGTACGCCTCGCAGACATCGATGGAGGCGACTCCTAAAGAAACTTTTGTACTTGGAACGAGACAAAACGCGCAACACAAACGCCACGTGACGCCGATGGTACTCGCTACTTCGCTTTGAGCAAATTTCAGTCGCTAACACTTGTCTCGATTCAGTATGAGCGAGGGCAGCAAAGCTCTGCGCGCTCCCAGTCCCCTTCATCTCCTTGGAGCAGTAGACAAGGATCACCCTCGCTAAGTGGAAGTGGCAGCAGCGGGTCACTTTCTGGTCGTCGTATCGACTCGCGCCGGTCCTTACTCGCTGGTATCGGGAAGCTTGTAGCAGCTGAGGACCTCAACGACCTACACCCGTGCGTCTTATGAATAAAGAAGTATTTTACCTTGCATCTAACGCTTTGTGATACCTCCACAGACCGCCAGAACGTCATCTACCGGAGAGCTACACAAGCGCAGCATCCAAGACTCTCCTAGCAGAGAACTAGTGAGTTTATTATACGTACGGCTTGTCGGTAGGACGAAAACTAACAACTATCTTCGCAATTCTACCAGCCACGGGACTACGGTGGGGTACACTGGACATCGAAACAAGTTCTGACACGAACGATTAAGGAATAGTAGCATGTAAACATGACACCCGAAGAACAGTGAGTTTTTATTTATCATCGCGCACGACTACATGGAGTGCATGTCGATGCGTAGCAATCCGAAGCTAATCAGCGCGCCCAGGAGCGAGAATGCGCCTCCCACAAACACCGGCAAGGCGTATCCGAGCGACGTCTCCACTAGTGCAGCGCCAACCAAGAAGTTGACCAACTGACCCACACAATTGGCTGAGTTGACAGCGCCGACGTACATTCCAACTTGCGTCGAGGTGCCGAAGACATGCACAATGAGAGGCACAATGAGTGCGAAGATCGTGGCCTGTGTGATGGCAGTCAGCACGACGATCGTCACGTCCACTGCGACAACTTTGGTGAACGCCATGACCATCAGCAGCGACTGTGGAATACACGCGACAGTGATGACCCAGCGCGCGCCCAGACGATAGACCAGAAGCGGAAGCACCCACGAGTACAAGTATCCAAACACATTGAAGAGCAAGTCTGCGAGACCTCCAGCAATCTGCACGCCGTCGTTGTAGCGTTCTTGGTCCTCCGAGCACTCACTAGGGCCACAGACGTCCGCGTCCGTAGCGTTGCCCCCGAACACCTCGATACCGAAGAACTGGCCCTTGCTGCCATTGTAGGCCGTGAAGCCAAACTGGATACAGAAAAACACAAGACAGTAAACCGCCAGCGTGCGAGGGAGCGTCTTCAAGCCGTGGAAAATAGAGGAGAAGGCTTCTCCGATCCGCTTCATCGCGCTTGGAGCTTCTTCATCAGAGCCCAGTCCTACGTCTTTGGAGACTGGCACTTCCTCCTTGGCGAACACACACACAGCACCCACAGAAGCCAGCATGGTAACTGAGAGCATCCCGAGGAACCAACGCAGCGTCAAGTGAGCAGCACCGAAGATGTAGATGTAGCCTGCCACCCAAATGGAGCCGAGAGTCGAGCTGGCCTGTCCGATGCTGGCTCCTAGTGTCTGTCGGTCGCCTGCGAAGTCGCTGATGATGAGGAAGGCTGGCGTCTGCACCACATTCACCGTGATGTCCATCCACGTGTAGAACAGGATAGTGAGCCACGCAGTCCATGGACGATGGTCGCCCGAGTCGCCTAGTAGCTCCCCCAACTCGCGTGTGTATCCCATCAACACCCAGCACGCTGCACTCGTCACTGCTCCGTAGACCAAGAACGGGCGACGACGTCCCCACTTGCATAAGCTGCGATCACTCAGCACACCAATTGTCGGCGCGACGAGGATCCCGGAGAGCGGACCGATCAGCTGAGTGAGCTGCACCGCAAACCGTGGCAGCATTGTGCCGAGATACGGACCCAGAGCCGCCCATTGCGCCGACCAAGCCATGTTGGTGGCCATCCGAGGCAAGGAGAGCAGGACGAGCATCCCCACGGAACACCCGACAGTGTGTTCACTCTGACCAGAGTCGTCGAGATCGAGATGCGAGAACGTCGAGAGCCTTGGAGCTTGCTCAGGTAGACCCAATGCCGTCGATTGCAGGTGAGGTGGTGACTCGGCCGGGTTGTACGTTGGGGTGGTAACCTCAAGATGAACAGACATGGCGCCCAGAGTTCGTAGACTTGGCACGAAGGTCGCAAATTCACAAATGACAGCTCCAATGTCTTCAGGACTGACACCTCGACTGACATGTTCAAGTTCAACGAGCTAGTTACGATAGACTCACACGTACGCCTCAGTCTTGCGACGATCTAAGATGGCCAGTGTGTGGATAAAACAGCGCCAACATCCTCGTGATCGTCCAAATTATCAGATTCGTGTTCCATTATCTTGCTCCGTCCTAATGGTAGTCTTCTCCATTACCCTTTTCTTTCCAACGTCACAGTTTCTAACATTTAATGCGTGGTAAGGAATCCAACTTCTTCCGTCGATTCTGCACGCTGCTACGCGTAAAATCTAACGAGATGTCGAATTGAAATCACCCCCCCCCCCCATTGATTCTCCCTAATAGTTACGCGGTGGCGTTCGAGTTGCTGGAACGCTCGCGAGCGTCTTGCATCGCCAGTCGCATGCGCTCCTTCGTCTGCTCCTTCAAGGACCGGAAAAACGCGATATCATCCTGCACCTCGCCCAGAACCTCGTGGTTCATCCCGTGCATCTGAGCCTCTCGGTACGACTTGCGTAAATCCTGTAAAATGTCCAGCACCTCCTTTAAGTGATGCGTATCTCGATCTCGTTGCTCGGCCATCTTCTGCCACTCGTGCAGCTTCATCTTGGTCTTGCCCAGTCGAATGGACTCCATCAGCTGATCCGTGACGACCGTTCTACAACTGCCGCATAATTGTCCATCGGCCGACACGTTCTGAGTATAGGAATTGGCGATCCCGCTGAGGATTTCCAGGTCTGTCGTTGGGTTATTGGCCGACGAGGTCGTGGGCTTCCCCATGTTTGACGTTGGATACTGCATGGGCAGCACTGACACGATACTAGGCTGACCTCCTTCATAGAATCCTTGTAATTCTCCAGCGGAGGAAGTGTCTGTTTGGGTCTGCATGGTCATGGTGGGTAGTTTCCTCTTATTAGTCATATTGCTGATAATCTGGGCTTCGGTGTTGTTGTCCCCGCCGTTACTGACGCTCTGGTCCTCGATCTCTGTGTCACCTCGCGTGGGCATTTGATGCATATTATTACTGGGTGGGGGTGCTTGAACTGAGGGAATGGTGCCGTCGTTTCTTCGAAGTAAGTCAATGTATCCCCCTTTATTGTCATTTGCGTTCGGCCCTTTCTTGATGGGGCGAATACGGCGTCGGTAGCACTCAGCGCGTAACTCGTGGGCGCGGTGCCGCTCGTATGGCTCGTGCGGACGACGCGCATTCTGTTTTGCTACATCCGCGTCGTTCGAGAGCAGCGAGTCGATGTCTCCGCCGCTGCTGTGCACGTCACCAACCAGGGAGCCGTTGCCGCTTGAGTCCATTTGTTCTGTTTAATAATATATTTCTACAGTATAATATTTTAGAAGCTGTCAGTAAAATGGGTTTTGCACGCTAGTGACACGTGCGGAGTGAATGTAAGCTGTTGAAGCTGCACCTGCACTCTGTCTTGAAGTGAACGGACAGCAACGGCAACAAGACGTCTTGGCCCTGTAGCTTACTATAATATAAATGGTCGGTTCTAATGATGGATATCACCTAAAAGGATTAAATATCGTGGCTGCAGAGCTAAATGGAGCTCCTAACGCGTATCAAGTCTGCGAAGTATTTCTGTCACGGGTCACTGGAGCCACGCCACGCAGTTCTGCATCTCACACGAGCTGAGCGAAAGAAAAGAGGCGCGTGAGACGCGATGGACTCGATGGACTCACTGTCAGCTGCAGATCCGGCAGCGGAGGTTGCTCGACTGAAGAGTGAGGTGCATGCCAAGGACGAGGCACTGAATGCGCTCAAGGCCAAGACCAAGGCGTTCGTGGACAACATGCGCAGCCAGTTGGCCTACGAGACGCAGAAGGTCACGGCGCTCGAGGCGAAGCTGAAGGAGGCCACCGTCACTGCTGCAGCTTCACCGGCACCTGTAGACAGCGCGGAGAAGCAGCGTCTGACGGAGGAGATTGAGAAGCTCAAGAAGGAGACGACCGCGCGCGAGAACGATCTCAAGACACGCGCCAAGTCCTTCGCGGACGCGATAAGCTCGCAACTGGAAGCAGAAAGGGAGAAATGCCGCGACCTCGAGGCGCAGCTGCAGCTAAGGACTGAAGCTCTTGCAGCCGCGGAAGCTGCGAAGGCTGCGGCTGACCAAGCTAAAGAGATGGATTTCCTCTCTCAACCAGTGATGGCTACTGGCTCACACACGGATGACGAGTTTAACGCCGTGCAGTCTCAATTAAACTCTGCAAACTTCGATATGGCTGACCTGCGTGAACGTCTACGCAGCGTGGAAACTGAAGCCTCGCAGTCAGTTCAGCAAGCTTTAAGTCTCCGTCAGGAACTGGAGACGTTGCGTACCTCCTCGGAGCAGCAGCGCGGTCAGCTACAAGCAGAAGTTGAGGCGCTAAAGGCTCGTGAAAGCTCTCTTCAGACAGAACTCGATTCGCAACAGACTCAAGTGAAAGACAGCAGTCTGCTAGAAGCTGACACGACAAAGACCAGAGAACTGGAGTTCCAGTTGGAGCAACACAAGATTGAGAACCAGCATCTCCAGAAACAGCTATCAGACAAGGATTTCCAGCTAGAGCAGCTGGACAGCTACCGTCGGCGAGCGGATGACAGTGAAGCCAAGACCCTGCAGCATCAAGCCGAGATCTCTGCGCTTCAGAACCAACTACAGACCAAGAGCAACGAGTTGGCGTCGTATTCGTGCAGCAAATGCACCGAGCTGGGGGAGAAGCTTGCCGAGATCACGCAACTCTATGAGAAGGTGAATCTTGGCAGGTCTCGCAGCGACAGCTTGATCGCCGAGACACAATCTCAGCTCGGAGAGATGCAGACCATCAAGCAGCAGTACGTGGCATCCCAGGAACGTCTCGATGATATGATGAAGCAGAACCTCAAGCTCAACGAGAAGATCTCTGAAAAGGAGGTCGAAGTGACTACACTGAAGGCTGAGATGAAGAAGTGGAGCATGGAAATGGCCGAGCTCCAGGCGCAGCACAGTTCTCTCAAGTCTGACACCTCGGAACACCGTCAACGCTCCGAGTCGGTCCATGCAGAGTTCCAGAAGGCGGAGACGACGCTCAAGGACCTGCAGACCAAATGTGCGCAGCTTGAGAAGAAGAATCAAGAACTAACGACATCGATTGAGACTAGCAACAAGGAGAACACGGATAAGCGTCAGAAGGCGAAGGCTCTTGTACAGTCACTAGTCAGTGAGAAAACAGGCTTGCTCGAGTCTAGAAGCGCACTCCAGAAGGAAGTGGATCGACTGAGGATGGAGGTTAACCAGCGCAACGTCGACAACGACCAGCAAGTCAAGCAACTTCGAGAGGAGACGAACGACAAGGCTGCACAGAGCACAGCGACTATCCAAAGTCTCACGGACGAAGTGGCGCAATTGAAGCACGCTCTCACTACGGTGCAAGAGTCGGAGAAGGTTCAGCAACGAGCCAAGGAACTCGCAGCAGCGAAGCGCGAGATTGAGGACTCGAACAAGAAGCGACTGGCAGCGAAAGCCGAGACGCAGAAGCTGGCGGTGGAGCTCGAGAATGTTCACAAGTGTCTTGACCACATTACGACGCACGTCAACGCCAACTGCACCGAGAACGTCCAGCAGATTGCTCTGGTCCAAGGTCATGTCAAGGAAGCGCTCGAGGTTTTGGAGAAACGAGCTGGCGTAGGGGCTCAAAACAAGCAGAAAACACCGGAAGACGACACGGCGGAGATCGTCCGTAAGGCAGAGGCGCTTTCCGGTGTACGAAGCGGAAATGCACAGCAGAATCCGGGGGCGAAGCGACTGGAAGAGAACGTGTCGCGTGTCAGCGAGCAGGTGTGTAGTGCTCTCTTTTCTAACGTTAAACTCGAAAGCCTAACTGATAAGCGCTGTCTTCTCCTCAGATACGACAGCTAGTGGACATCACCGAGCGCTTGTGCGACATCGCAGTGGAGCAGAACGACGCGAACCTGAAGGATATTATCTTCACCAAGCTCACGCAGACCTTCACCCAGTGCTTCGCCGAGAAACTCCAGACAGTCTACAACAAGGCCGACGAGGCGGTGAGTCTGCTGGATGCTCACGGACCAACGTCGGAGAGCGGACACGCAGCTGTTAGGCCCGTCAGCTAAACGCCACTAGTTCTGCATCCCTGTATGAATGAACATTTATCCACTACCGTACTTCCCTTCCGGTTTATCTCGCGTCGTCGTTTGCCTCGTCCACTGACTCTCCATCGACCTCTTCAACAGGGGGAGTGCATCCTCCAGTCGATCCAGTTTCGTCCTTCGAAGAGAAGAGCTGAGCCAGCAAATCCGGGTTCGAGCGACACTTCTCTTCCAGCACCTGCATCAACACGTTAGGCTGCAGCGTCGACTTGGCTTCCTCATGTTCTTTCTCCTCTTGCTCTTTGGTCTCTTCGTCTTCAATCACCGTCAAGCGTCTGACAATCCCCTTACTATGTTCGAGAATCTCTTCGTGGGCCGAGAGCACACTTCGACGCTCCAGCGCTGCAATCAGAACCTCTCCGCTCGCAGCTTCCCCCGCCGGAGGAGGGTTCTCCATAGCTGTGTACTCCAGTAACCCCACCAGTAACTCGGCCACATCTTCCCACACGGACTGGAACTTCGCACAAGTCTGCAGCTTCGTCAGCTCTTCACACACCACAAGTGACAGCAACTGGACCACAACCACGTGCGGGCGTAGAGCTAGCGGGTCTTTCATCGTTGACGGTCGGCGACGACGTCCAATTGGCTTCTTAGTGTCGCTAGCTGGGTGCTTCAACACGCCGTCGTCGTTCGTGGACGGCAGCTGTCGTCGGTAGTACAGGAAAGGTGAGTTCGTTTCCTCCTCGTTGTCTCCGAAGTGCATCCCTCCACCGGAATGCTTGGGCCCAGCATCGTTGAGCAGGTCGAAACCAACAGGAACCAATCCGTATCGAAGCACATCCAGCCAGGCCATGGGCTTGAAAGATTGGTCCGTTCCCGCGTGCTCACTTAGCATGTGTTTCAGTCCTTCAATTGCCGTCACAACCAGCTCATTGGGAAGCTCCTGCTTGATCTGATGCAACAGCAAGTGTCTCGACACAACAGCCATCCCGCCCAAGAAGCGCAAGCGTTCTTCAACGTAGTTGGGCGCGTCAGGACGCAGTGTGTCGAACATGAACAGAAGCAGGTCAACAGGCCTCGACGGAGCCCACGAATCGTGGGGGTCGCGAGTCTTCATCGCGAACATGATCATCTTCGTAAAGCAGTCGCTGATGAGAATCTCGTTCCCGTCGCCATTCCATATTTTCTCCGTCACAAGCCGCTCCAGCAGTCCGAAGCCGTGCGACGCAGCGTGGGACCGTCCAACTGACCAGCTAATCAAGTTACAGATCGTCAGCCAGTCCATGCGAGAGTAGTGCAGGTTGATGGGCTGCACCAGCGCCACATATCGATCCAATCCACACATTATCGGCGTCAGGAAAGGTCCCATCAGCTCGTCGTCGCCACTCATCTCCATCATCGTGCTCAAGAACGTCACCAACAAAATCCCATTCGCGTCACTGCGTGTACGCGTGACCCACGCAAACAACCCGTTGATGGACTTGTGCAGCAAGAAACACGCGTTCTCGTACGTCAGTCCACTAAGACTGTGATTGGTGAGTAGCACAGGACGCAGAAACTCCAGGATCTGCGTGTAGTGCGCTTCCAGCACAGCCGAGATGCCGTCGTCATCGTCTGCACCGCCATCAAACAGCGATCCGCTCAGTGCGATCACTTGACTCAACAGGTGCTCAAACAACACACAGCCTCCTTGACTGAGCGACAACTTGGTGGCCCTTTTCCGGTCTTTTTGTGCCTCGCTATCGTCAGGACCTCGCAGCACCAGCAAAATCTCGTCGTGCAGCGCTTCGATCGCTTCAGCCAACGCCCGCGATGGCAAACTGGCCACGTCTTGCATCAGAAACTCGAGTCGGTACGGCTGCAAAGTGGTTCGGATCCACTGGTCCGTGCCAAACTCGTCTCTCGGGTCCTGCTCGCCTTCAGAAGGCTGCTTCTTTGGAGTTTTCCCTTCGATCACGAGGTCTTCAGTGTGCAAAGCGAGCTCAGCTGGACTCGGTTGATACCGCTCGAATCCCGGAGATAGCTGAGACTTGGACGGGGCAGTGGATCCAGGCGCGGACCCTCCTAGATTCGAGTCAAGAGCAGACAGCAGCCACGCGACGCCACTGAAAAAGCCACCGGAATCGCCATTGCCGCCATCCTGCTCTTGAGCACTGAGCGCAATCTTCCGCACCAATTCTTCCTTGTTCTGGTACACCAGGTCGATAAACTCAAGACGCTCGTCAGGTGTCATCAGCTCCAGCTTCATCTCATCACTAGGATACAGAATCCGAGATGGCAGGGCGTGGAACTCGCGCAATCCGCTAACGATATGGAAAAAAAACTTCCATGAGCGGCTGTGCAGTGACAAGCTGCACGTGCTGACAAGCTTAAGCACGGCGGCAGTCGCAACGGGGGCACTTTGGTTGTCGCAATACGCCCAGATCCCGTTCTCGCGGCCGTTGTAGCCCACCGGATAAATGTCCGACGAGATCAGCGCCGTGTACTTGCAAAGCCGGATAAACAGCGCGTTGCAGTGCTCCACCAGCGACAAATGAGACGCCACCGCTGCACACAACACGAAGCCGTTGCAGGCCAGCTGCAGGGCACTCTTCTGAGGGACATAGTGCATGTCATAGCTGCTCCCAACCGAGAGATCGTCTCCTCGAGCTGCATCCTTGGCCTGGGAATCCACGACAAACTGCTGGAACACACTGCTGAACGCTCGAACGAGGTTCTGCTGGACCAACTCGAAGATGTGGCGGTCGTATTGGTTGCCTGACGAGGGATAGAGAGAGACAAGTCCATACAAACCCTCTTGCTGCATCCACGTTCCGCTCTTGGCTGCAGGGCTGGAGGCGCTCTTAGTAAGTCGAGCCTGCTTCATCTTCCGCATCGCATCAGGTGCCAGCGGCGCGAAACTGGCGCCTTGGACGCCAATCCCTCGAGGTGTGCTGGAGGACCGGGGATGCAGTGAAGGCTGGTGCACAATCAAGCGCGAGTTGCGCGGGTCGCTTTCGGCCTGGTTGAGTAGATCCTTCCATCGATCGCTCGTCACTTCCCCGTGCTTGCCTCCGTCTTCAAACGTCTTGACCTCGTCCTTCGAGATGGTGTTGTACAGCTCCGTCAAGAAATCCTCGGGCAGATCAAGGCCCTTGGAGACCTCCAGACCGTAGTTCTTGTTGTTCCTGATAAAGTCTGCCAGCTTCATCTTCTTGTCCGGTCGGATATTCGGGTTGTGGAGGTCCGTGTTCAGCATGATGAGGCTGAACGACAGCAGATACGCCACGTCCACAGACGCCATGAGGAACCGCTCGCGACACTGTTCGTACACTTGGAGCGAGAACGTGTTCAAGATGCGGTCAATCTGCTGCGCCTCCCCCGGGAGACGGAAACTTGCGAGGAACATACGCAGAGCAGCGACGATACTCTCGCCTTCAAAGTTAAACGACCGCACGAAGTTGGTGAGGACGTCGCGATGGAAATCCATCGAATCGGCTTCGTGGATGTCCGTCTTCTCGAAGCCCTTGACTTCCTTGCCCATGGCGCCCAGGTATACACCGACTGCATTCTTGTTCAGACCTTGAGGAAGCGACCGCAGGAACGTCGCCAGTGAAATGCTGTCAAGTGGGGTCGGCAGGAACGTGTTCTGCTGCAAGTACTTGATGCCAGCCAGAGGCTTCCGGTTGAACTCCTGGATACCGTGCTGGAAAAACTTCTTGCGTTGTCGCTTCTTGAACAAAACTTCAGCCGAAGCGAACTCTTCGGCGTCTTCGGTTGGAGATGGCGTCTCCTGGTCCACTAGAAGCGTGTCCTCGTTCATTTCTTCGTCACTGGGGCCACTGCTGCCATCTCCACTGACGGCAGGTGTTTCCGGATGGGTGCGAAGATGCACGACGTACAGCGCATTAAACATCCCACGAAGCGCAATCTCCCCGACGGCCTGAGCCCACAAGAAATGCGTTTCTTCGTGCGATTCAAAGCAAGCGACGTGGGACTGTTGCGCAGTCTGCGAAAGCAGCTCAAACAGCGTCTGCGTCAAGTCGCAGCGGTTGCCGTCGCAGTCGTAGTTCACATACAGATCTGGCAGCAACGTCGCCTCCGCCAGCAGGTCCACCAAGCAGTCGAGGATCTCAAACGAAATGCCGAACAGCCGGTTCTTGGACAGCATTTCCCCTGAGAACTCGTCCAGAGCGGCGTCCACCATCGTCGCAGCTTTGCTGTCCGTCTGGCCGTTTGCATCTGCAGTCGGTGGGGCGGTGTCATTCCCATGCGGGAAGTCTGGGCTGCTTACATCCATGTTTGCCAGACACCAGTGCAGCGTGTGGTAGAACACGCCATTAAACAGCGCTTCCACCTGCATTTTGAGCTCCGAGCGCAGCTTTGACCACAGCAGCCGAATCAATTCGAGACACACGACTGGAATCTTGAGCTCGGCACAGGCGCTGCACGTTAGTTGCGCGTTAGATTGGCGTGATACACTAGTACACACACACATAAGCAGCACGTACCCGAGGCGGCAGTAGCGCAAGATGGCGCTGCACAGATCGTCCTTGATGAAGAGCATCAGCGCTGGCACACCCGTAATAAGCTCAGCGTCACATGCCATCAGCGCACGTTGAAGTAACGAAAAGGACAGCAAGACTTCGCGCCGACTCGTCGTGTTCCCACTCGGTGTGGCAGGTGCGTCTGGAGCTGGAGGTGGCACGTAGTTCTTCTGATGTAGTTTCTGACAGAAGAAGCCCGCGATCTTCACAGCACACGGCAGTCCAAAACCCGGTCTTAGTGGCTCCGACGCAGAGTCGGTAGCAGGAGCCACGTCCGAATAGATAGCAGGGTTGGAGAAGATGAAGGCCACAGTGTCATGTAGGAAGTTCGTGGCTGTCGATCGCAGTGGCAGCGTAATATGTGGCTGTACGAGCACACAACAAGTCTATCAGTATTCACGCTTAGTCAACACGAGCAATTAATCACGTACATCGTGTCGATTGCCACGACTGAGCGCATACAGCGACTCTACCAGCTGCCACATGGAGTGATCCGAGAGTCTGGTACCGCAGGAAGAGCGCACTACAGCGTGAAGCACGTGGACGACCAGTACTAGGACGTTCTGGTCGCTCTCGATTCCTGTCTCTTGGAATCTGCAGTGGCTCACAGCGTCCACAATGTCTGAAACAGCGTCTGCTGCTGCGTTTTGGTCCTTCACATCCGTCCAGGGCCACGAGTGGAGGAAATTCATCACAGCCTGCAGTGCCGCTCCCGTGACTGTACTGCCGGCGTGTTCGTGGCGGATCACGTCCAGAAAGGGCTTGACGACGGTCACGGGCGAAAGCTCCTCCATATCTTCTCCCATAACGTCGAGAAAGTGTCAAACTGAGACCATTCGACAGCATTTTTGCGTGCTCACTTACTCTCGCATTTCAGCAGACGTCCACGAAGCAGTGAGAAGCTCTGGAAGACTGCCACGGGGCTCTCCTGCAGCAATTAGAGTGAGCGTGTTAGCTATCTGCAACAAGATGTTTAAGCGAAGATTATGCGGTCCACAAGACGTTTCCGCACCTTCTTCGAGTGCTGACCGTTCGTCCAGGTCAAAAGGTAGCCGTGGCGACGTCTAGCTAGACTCAACACGCTCTGGATGTCGCTCAGCAGCACAGCACGCCCCGCCATTGTGCGGGCTGCGCAAATAAGACGACTTTCAGTGTGTGGACCACAGTTTAAGTGTACCACATTCAGGGGTTAATGGTAACTCCAAAATCGGTGAAGTTAATATTGTGAAAATATCACCTGTAGACCAGTTAATATAAAAAATATCACCTAATATTTTCTTTTGAGACAATATGATATTATTAAATATCAACTTAATATTAGTTAATACGATATTATATTTTTCAATGATTGCGTAATCGGGCTACATTAACTAATCAGATGTCGTTAACGCTCGACTAGCTGAAGTATTACTAATCAACCGTGAGTACCGGGACAATTGTGAGTGACGGCAAGGTTGGCGTTGTGTGTTGGCACTGCTGAGCGCATTAATCTAGCGCCACAGGCAGCAGGTTTATTAGACGCACGATGTCGACGAGGAGATCGGAAGAGAACAAGAACAAATGTCTTGATTTCGCTCTATCAACGTTAAACAGCTGCAAGCGTTTGCAGTTTTCCATCTCGATCGCCTTTGTCTGTGTCACAGTGAAATACTAGAGCAAATACTCGTCAGTCTTAAAGCCTACTGCTTTTCTAGAACCTGATCGAAAAAGTTATTTGGCTCCGCTCGGTTCACAGAGGTAAGCTGGCAAGAAACGTACTTAAGTGGGAAAATATCATAAAATATCATGTAGTATCTAATATTTGTCAGTTCTCCGAGCTAATATAAAAATATTATGTTAGCTTTTGCAAAAATGAGTTACTATTAATATTTAATATCGAAAATAGTACTATTACTATCAAAAATATCATATGATATTTGGTTACCATTAGCCCCTGACCACATTTCCCGCAACAATTTTTTTGGTGTGCGTCAATTTCGTGGTGTATCAGACATCAGGTCTGAAGCTGAGATGGCTACAGTTTGTTCCCGTCCAAGCATCAAAATGAGCAATGATAGTTACTCACTATCGCTTTCCCTCGAGCATCAAGACGCCTCCAATCTAGCCTGCAAAGATGCGCGTGGTGGCTCTTGTGAGCGGTGGCAAGGACAGCTGCTATGCCATGATGGAGTGTGTGCGCTTCGGCCACGAGATCGTGTGTCTAGCGCACTTACATCCGCCGTCGGAGCTCTCGGCCGACGACGCCGAGATCGATTCGTTCATGTTCCAGAGCGTTGGCCACCAGACTGTGGGGCTCATTGCCGAGAGTATGGAGCTGCCGTTGGTTTCAGAAACCATCACGGGCACTGCAGTCGCCACGGACATAAACTATCACGAGTCTGCTAGTGGTGACGAGGTCGAGGACCTGTTCCGCTTGCTGCAGAAGGTCAAGCAGCAGTTCCCGGACGTCCAGGGCGTCTGCACCGGCGCAATCTTCTCCAGTTACCAGCGCAACCGGGTGGAGAATGTGTGAGTAGAGCACGTTGTCAACTTGTGACATCGATGGCGTATTTAATGACAACGGTTGTTGTAGCTGCACGAGACTAGGGCTCACGTCGTTGGGCTACCTGTGGCGTCGCGAACAGACCGAGTTACTACAGGAGATGGTTGACTCGGAGATGGAGGCCATTCTAATCAAGGCGGCGTCTATTGGACTGCAGCCCCGGAGGCACTTGGGAAAGACAATTGCGGAGCTGCAGCCTCAACTCATGATGCTGGTAAGTTCCGGGAAAGATTTGAATACTGGGAATGCACTGTACCGTTTGCTCAATTTTGGTGTGATATCTTTGTGCTCCGAGTAGAAGGAGAAGTACCAGATGAACGTTTGCGGAGAAGGTGGCGAGTACGAGACATTCACGCTTGACTGCCCGTTGTTCAAGAGGCGCATCGTCATGTACGTCTTGTGATTTGTAAGGAAGCTTAGATGCCGATTGAAATATCTAACGCTGCTACTGTCTTTACAGCGATGAGAGCCACACGGTGCTCCACTCGGACGACTACATCGCGCCTGTGGCCTTCTTGTCGATAGACAAGTGCCATCTGGAAGACAAGGAGCGTGCTGACCCATCGCACTTGGCCTCTAGAGTCCCCGAGACTCCTCCCACCGAGTCAGTCAGTAATAAAAGCCCCACGGACAAGAAGCTGGCCACCATGCTCGCTCTCACTCCAGAGCCAGCAAAGGAAGTCGTGCCTGCTTTCGGTCAGTTCCGCGACCAGCTGCATCTTTCGGGCATCATGAGCAGCCAGGCTGGCGACCAATCAGTCACTCTGGAGGAGGAAATGACAGATGTTATCGCTCAACTGGAGGCTATCCTGAAGAGCCAAAAGATGGTGCTAGCTGACGTGTGCTTTGTGCATCTGTACGTCCAAGATATGGCCTCCTTCGGACAACTCAACGCCGAGTACATCCAGCACCTGGGTCAAAATCTGCCTCCTTCCCGCAGCTGTGTGGAAGTGAAGGCGCTGGCAAATGTCCCCGCTCGTGTTCTCTTGGATTGCCTCGCCTTACGCGGCAGTGGCGTACAGAAGCTGCAGTCTCTGCGTGTGCGCCGTGACGTTTTACATGTAAAGAGCATCTCAGCGTGGGCTCCTTGCTGTATTGGTCCCTACAGTCAAGCGAATGTGCTGCACCGAGCGCTTATATTGTTGGCTGGACAAATCGCTCTATACCCTCAGACGATGGAGCTAGTACCAGGTGACCGTGCAGCTCAGACACTACAATGCTTTCGCAATGCCTGTCGCGTCTTGGAAGCTCTTCAATCGAACTTGCGTCACGTGTGCTCTGGTGTCATCTACACCACCGGAGACCTGGACGATCATGAAGCTCGGGAGCGTCTGCTAGTCGAAAGTCGACGTCATTTGCTTACCAACGCCGAACTGATGGATGAGTTTGAAGATGACAACGACAGTGACGAGAGTGACGAAGAAGTGGACAAGAACGAGGCGCGCGTGGAGTTCGTCAAGGAGGCTCCTTTGCTGGTTGTTCAGCTGTCACGCTTGCCACGTAACGCCCTGGTGGAAGTGGAGCTCCAGGCACTCACGCACATTGCGCTGAAGTATCTGGTGCCTCGTAGCTTTACGAGCACAATTGTTTCAAACAACATGCGCTTCGACTGGCAGAGTAGTATAATTCCACGAGCGTTGTGCCAGATCATGTGTACTGCATCCGTTGATGGCGATGCAGAGGTTTCGGACACGCGGACGTTGGCGAAGGCCGTTGCTGAGGGCATCTGGGCGTGTGCACTGGACTGCCTGGTGCAAGCTATGATGTCCTGGGACCGTGTCATTCACGTACGCACCTTCTACGTGGCAACAGCGTTCTCAAGCGAGGTGGAGCTGGCCAAGGCATATCACAGGACTGTAACTGCACGAGGGAAGGTCAAGAGCATGCCGGGGATGACGTTTGTGCCTGTGGACGCCATCCAGGGCAATGCTGTGGCTGCGCTTCAGGTGACGGCACAGGACCTGGACAAGATGGAGACTGAGCTCTGGCTGCACAAGCAGATCTAACTACCGGTACACCGAGCGTGTAGATAACAATCAAAGTTTAAACGCAACTCCTTATTTGTCTTGGATGTTGAGGCGTTGGTCTGTCTAATGCCGCCGCTTGCTGGGACCTCGGCTGCTGCCAGAGCTTTCATCTCGCCCCTTTCGCTTGCGAGAATCACGGTCGCGAGAGCGAGAGCGTCCACCTCGGTCTCCCCGGTTGCGTCCACTCGCTCTGTCCTGCTCTACTGATCCACTTCCTCCGCGTCCGTCGCGCTCTCGAGGACGCCCGCGATCACGGTCACGTCCACTGTCGCGGCTATCCTCACGGCCACGTTCACGGCCTCGATCACGTTCGCGTCCACGTCTATCATCTCGGTCTCTGTCACGGCCTCGGTCCTTCTCGCTAGCGTCTTTTCCACCATCCCGTCGACCGCTTCCTCTTGACTCCTCGCGACGAGAGCGATCACGAGATCTCGACCGATCGCGACTTGCTTCTCTGGATCGACCACCGCGTCTATCATCACGGTCGTCTTTACCACTGCGCCCGCGATCATCAAAGCCCCCACGGCCACCTCCGCGACCTCTGCCGCCCATCCAAGGTGGGCCTCTACCGGGCCCCGAGCCCCACGGTGCGCCTCCCATCGAAGGACCGTTCCAGTTCTGCTGCCCCATAAAGCCCGGCGGTGGACCCATTCCAGGATGCCATCCCCGCGGAGGAGGGCCGCCCATAAAGCCACCTCCCCGAGGTGGAGCACCGCCCATGGGAGGCATCCCATTGCCACCAGTGCCCCACTCTCCTGACCGCTCGTCTCCGCCTTCCTGCTTCATCGGTCCAGGGAACCCACGCGGTGGCATCCCGCCTGCCCCTCGTCCTTGCATCTTCGCATCACGATCTCGCATGGCTTGTTGATTAGCTGCATTCACCGCCTGTCTGGACGCTTGTTCTCTCGACTTTTCCACGGCCAAATCGCGTCTCAATCGCAGCTGCCGGCCAGCGTATTCTCTCCAGCTGTGCTCATCAAACCCGTAATTAAAATAATCGGAGATATCCACACCAGGTTTGCGCCAAGGTCTGTCCTCAAGCAGGTCAATATCCACATCAAATGCTGTGCGTCGTCCCCCAAACATCGCCATATCGTCCACTCCGTCCACAGTGGACCCGCCCACATCTCCAGGTTGAGAGCCCGTTATGGCTCCAGCTCCCGGAGCTCCAGTACCTCCATGTTGCGTGCCACCAAAGCTGCCACGCACGTAGCGATTGCCACCACCTGTGAAGCGCAGCGTAGGTTTGCTGCCGTGGTCTGTGCTCAGCACGATGGCCACGTCTTCGTCGTCCTCATCGTCATCTGAGTCCGCCGCCGGATTGTCACTGGGTTTGTATGCAGATGGATTATTCGCAGCAGCAGCAGCGGCCTCTGCTGCAGCTTCAGCCTGTGACGTCGCAGACGCGTTGAGCTTGATGGAGACGCCGCCATAGAGCTCCTCGTCCTCGTCTTCATCGTCATCCTTCTTCTCAGTTTTAACTGCGGAATCCTCACTAGCTTCCCACGTAGCTCTGGACTCCTCCGTCTTGGCCTCTTCCTTAATGCTAGCGCCATCCCCACGCGTCGTCACTAGCACATCTTCGCCGAAGTCCTCGTCCTCCATCGCACCAATTTGGCGTCGCAGGATATGACCACAACTATGAAGGGGTCGAAGTGTACAGTACGTAAAAAAGCTCCGCTCAAATACGAACCCGCGACGGGTCGGGTTTTCAGCTTGTGATCGTACTTACTCGAGCATTTCAAAGCTTGTTACTTCTTGCAGTTGATTGGCTGTTAAGGTCACCAACTTGATATTTGTATGCTGGCGCCTCCGCGGCCAATAGTTTCACGGTCCGAGCAACGCCCAAAGCCTCTCTCGACGCAGTTCTTCTTGTCTCGTTCGACTTTTGCAGGTAGGCGAGGCTTTTTGATGCATGAGACCGCGCGGAGGAGAGAGCGCAATGCTGAGCGGCATACAGTGGGGGATCAGATACACCAATCCAATTGGGGCGGAGGCGTTCGTAGGAATAAACGTCAAAGCAAAGAAAATGACGGAGAAACAGGCCAACGACTGGAGATATCATAACAGATAGACGACGCTCCGTCCCGAAGAGAACATGGTGTTTTCAGTGATGATTCTACTGTCGTCGTGTCAGCAGCGCTCTCTCGTTCACAAATATGGCTTCGAATGGCGCCGACGATCCCTGCGAGTACAGCTACTAACGAATTTGTGTGGGTAATGTATTTGCTACAGCTTAGTCAAAGATGCCGCACTCCTTTGGTTACCGCGCTCGCACGCGCGACATGTTCGCCCGCCCGTTCCGTCAGAGCGGCATGATCAAGATGTCGACGTACCTGCGTACGTTCAAGGTCGGCGACTACGTTGACATTAAGGCCAACGGTGCCGTGCAGAAGGGTATGCCCCACAAGTTCTACCACGGCCGTACCGGCCGCGTGTACAACGTGACCAAGCGTGCCGTCGGTGTGCGTGTGAACAAGATTGTGGGCAACCGCATCATCCACAAGCACATCAACGTGCGCATTGAGCACGTGCACCAGTCGAAGTGCCGTCTGGGCTTCCTCACGCGCGTTAAGGAGAACGAGCTGAAGAAGAAAGAGGCTCGTGCCACTGGCGTCCGCGCTCAGATTAAGCGTACCCCCGGACAGCCTAAGGCCGCCTACACCCTGAAGGCCAAGGGCACCAAGCCTATCACCATGGCTGCGCAGCCGTTCGTGGACCTCATGTAAGTGGCTTTTGGTGCAGCTAACACCATTGCTACAAACGAACTGTTGGGATCTTGCGCATGGCCTGAAGTAAGTCGCTCCGTGCACGTCGTAACCCCAACGAGCTGGGCTAAATGAAAGAACGAGTCAAATCCACGGCGCCCTCTGCTCTGTTGTCACTCTTAACTGCTACCGCTCGATTGGTGTCATCTCTGCGTAGCCATCCTACAGTAGTGCTACAGGCATTCAGCTCATGTCAGCTCCTGCATTATCATATCCTATGAAAGACTCCTTGAGTCATAGCTATGACGGGCTAGATTTTTGTAAAACTTTCATATCGAACTTACCCGAGTTGCTTTTCACATTTCGTGACTTTTCGCCGACGACAATGGACGCGCCTGTGGACGACGCGGCCATGGAGCAGTATGCCGATGTACGTTTCCCCGTTGCTAACTTATGCTGAAGACGTGTGACTTCTATATAGAACCGAGGCTAAACCCCAGCTCACCGCCTCGTGAATGTGCCGCGCAGTGGTTGGATAATTTGGAGAAGACGGATCCGGAAGGCTACGAGCAGTTTATTGCCACAATGCAGAGTCAACTGCAGGCCGCAGGACTGGGACCAGAGAGCTCCGCTGGTGCACCACAAGGTGACGCAGATGTAGCATTGCTCGACATGCTAAAGAGCTCAGCAGGTGGACGAGGAGGGGCCGCCGACACCATCTCGTCTGGTATGAGTCTAGCCTGCAGTGGTCATGGGAACCTGTCTAACCTGATTATGGTGGTGTATTATATTGCCGGTACTGATGTGGGGTAGATTTCAAGCCGCGGTTTCCTGGTGACAAGATTATGGGGAATGATGGCTTGAAAGCCACTCCAGAGGGGGTACGATGGGTATGGGAGTGCCAACGGGGATAGAAGGCTAACCTTTGGTGTTTGTGGTGGTAGGTGTACATTGATGTGAAGCCTGGCTTCGTCATGAAGACAACCGATGTTAAGAACAAAAAGAAGGTGCGACAGCGATCAGCTCGGAGGTTGCTTTCACCTTTTGTAGAGCTGATGTTACCATGTAATAGGTTTTTGTAAATGTAGTATATGCGGATGAAATTCAAGCGTTCTCAGAGAAGAAAAAGCTGGACGATGAAGGCAAGGAGCAAGAAGTAAGGAACAAATTTGAGCTCTCACCATGACCTGGAAACGTGCCTAAAATATTCAACTGAACTCGACTGCTGGGTAGGGAATTCACGTTCCGCTCAGTCTAGGTGCTCCACATGAGGTTGAGGACAAGAAGGGAGTGAGCTCGCTGGCTTTTGACGTGGCAGTGAACTCGAAAGTCGTTGAAGACTGTCAAGCTGACAAAACAGGAGCATTCCGCAACTTTGTGTGCGAGCTTGCGATCGAGTACATCGACCAGAAGGTGCGAGATGAATTTATTACTTTGGTGTTGTTACATTGACATGTTGTGTGGCTTGATGTAGTACAAAATCAAGCTCGACGATCGCTACAAACTGCCACGACTGACATACCGTGGAGAGCTACCACCACCAAAGCACTACATACGCAAAACGCAGGCTCCAATCATCCAAGAAGTTGCCGCAAATAAGGCAACTGCTTTAAAGAAGACTGGCAAGGCAGAATCTACTGCAAAGAAAACTCCGAACGCGCCAAAGACAGCCACAGCGACGTATGAGCTATTTGAGGAGTGCAACGATACCCGTACGGCCTGCACGCGACTTCCTTCCGTTTCGAAGGACAGTATACCGTTGTCACCTGAGGTGCTGGAGCAAGCGGGAGATCGGTTGATCGTCTCCATTACGTTTCAAAACAAGGTACAAGCAGCAAGTGACATTGAACTGGAATTACACGCTGAGCTATTGAGCGTCAAGACCGTTAGTCATCACGATACGGGTAATTGCAGTATTATCCACTCGCTCAGTGTTGGCAAAGACTAACACGTTCTGTACTTTCGTGCAGAGATCTTTCTCCCGTATCCCGTAGATTTAAACTCTGCTAAAGTCTGCTTGGATCAGGGTCGCAATACGATGGAGATAACACTGCAAATCGATAAGTCATGGGAGGGTGTTGGACCTGACTGCGGCTCAGCTCCGTGGCTATTGGCAAGGGCGCTAGACGAAGAGGGTGGAGACGTTTGCGAGGGTCCAGCTAACTGTGCTAATGAAAAACCCAAGTCACTATTGGAGATGTTCCATCTGGCCAACGCAGCGGAGTCGAAGAATGACCCGTTCGGAATCACATCGAGAGCTACGCCACGATGGGACCCCGTACTGGAAGACGAAGAACTACCTGAGGATCGATTTCATCGGAAGGATATGATGTCCATGCACATATTGGAACAACGGCGAGTTGAGCGTGAACAGAAGGCGAAGGAGGCTGAGTCCAAGCGGAAGCAGAGACGTGCTGAGGTCGAGGACATGCAAAAGAAGGCAACAGAGGCTGGAAAAACATGGCGGGAAATGTACCCGAACGAGCCGGAGACGACCTACATCGACATGGAAGACATTGTTCGACAGGAGAAAGAGAGACTCGATCGTCACCAAGAAAAGCGGAAAGAAGAGGAAGATCCCACCAAAGAATGTATACCAACAGAGGATGCACTGCGGATGGCTGTGAAATGGTCGGAGAACAACAAGAACGGCAACTTAGACTTGCAATCCGCCTTAGCATTTGAGCTGCTCTAATTCATCTAGAATCTAGATCTTTGATCTTTCTAGATTGCTAAAACGAGTGATGTTTCTGTTCCGCTCCCTATTCCTTCTTCGCGTAGTTGCGGGCACCGAAGATCGTCGATCCGACACGGACGTGAGTGCTTCCGCAAGAAATCTAAGCATATCAAATTCGCAATTAATCAGGGCTCCACGCTATCATCACAAACTCTTATCAGTTCTTACCGCCAGCTCAAAGTCTCCGGACATGCCCATGCTAAGCGCCAGCTCTGTCTCAGTCTTTCCAATCGCCTCAGCGACCTTCTTACGGCAGGCCACCAGACGGTCGAAGCACTCCGAAGTGGTGTCACCATATCGTCCAATAGTCATGAGCCCTGTGAGGTTCAAGTGCTCGCAGGATGCCACAATGTGGCGCGCGAGCTCAACTGAACCATCGGTATCGATGCCCGACTTCTGCTCCTCCTCACTGGTGTTCACTTGCACCATCACGTTGAGCTTCTCGGTGCGGAACTCACCCGACGCCTTGTTGAGGGCATTGGCGATCTTGATAGAATCCACAGTCTCTACGACGAAGAGATTGGGTACGTCACGGACGAGTGGCTTGGCCTTGTTGGACTGTACGTGACCGATGTAGTGCCACTTGATGTCTGCCGGGAGGAGAGGCGCCTTCTGCGTCAGCTCCTGGATCTACGTGTTATCAATTACCACAATAGCGTAACTATGATAGAAATTGTTAATAAGTAAAGCAAGAAATGGCACGTACGTAATTCTCGCCAAAGTGTCGTTGGTCGGCCTCATACGCCTCCTGCAGATCCTCCAAAGGCTTGGTTTTGCTCACCGCTACCAACGTACACTGTTGTTTCCATGTGGTCTTAGCTACAGCCCCTGCCACCTTGGCACGCACAGCCAGCAAGTTCTTCGCCACCGCCATTTTCGAAAAGTTTCACACAACTCCTTTTTACATGTACTAGTAACCTATGATACATTATATGCAATGATAGAGTTTTGGGACAGCTCAGACACTCAAATCTACTTATCAAACTTTATTCTACCTTAAAGTACTAAAAACGCTTCACTGCATGTTTAAATGCTATTTTGAATTACAAGGCTACGACTCAAGAGATCTATCTGTCGATCCAGACGTGGAGTCACTAGTTTCATCGCCCATTGACAGCGAGCCTTGCCAGTCAGAATATGATGCCGAAGCACTATCAATATCTAGAGATTCTGAAGTCGACTCAGTGAGCCAGCTGTCCATGGACGCATCTTGGGAATCGGAGGCGAAGATCAAGTCACCCTCATCGTTATCTCCCGACGCATTTTCAGAGTCGGATGCATCTGACGTCGAGCTCTGAAATGATCCAAATCGCGTCCAATCTCCTAGCACGTCTTCGATATATGAGGCTGCCATGCTGTCATCTGAGCCGCTTGCCGATTCTTCTTGCTGGGAGTCCTGAGAAGCAGCAGTTGAGTAGCTTGCTGCATCGACTGATGTGTCATTTGATAAGTCGGTGAGATCGCCATCAGCTTTTGAGCTTAAACCTGAGCCATCCATCCACGACGAGTCACTCTTCACAGTTCCAGCATCGAAACTGCCTGAACCAAGCCCTGATCCCCCGATAATCGACACTCCGTCGGCACTCGTCGCCTCGGCAGTATCAGCAGTGGTGGTCTCACTAGAGGATCCGTTTAGAGTTGCGATCGCTATCACTCCGAATATCACTCCACACACCATGAGAAGTGCGATCGCGCCGCGAGTGCTCCACGGGCGAGGCGGTACCGGGACTGAGCGAAGTACTGGGTATCTTGTCAAGGCTCCACCTTCCATTTCCTCGAGGCGATCAAAGCCTCCTCCTTGCGGATGATACAGCAGATTGTTGCTTTCACTCATCATATTTGCAGACACGTATTTCCTTGAAGCGTGTACCTTGAATCAATTGTGAGCAAGCGGAGTCGAGAGGAGAAATGATCAACATGTCGTTCAGCACAGATACACCAAAATTAGTCCGTTGAAACGAATGAGCTGCTGTGCCGATAAATTCCACCACCACATCCCACACATTCTTATAAATAGATCACATTGATCATATTGGCCATGCAACAAAGCTTGGCAACTTCCCACCCCCCACGGAAACCAACACGAGAACAATCACTCCCACTTCAACAGTTGCCTTTATGTGTACCACACAACTAAACTAGGATACAGTACATGTCCACGTAGATTATCCCTAAAGTCTGCGTGCTTCAAGCACTTTTGATCACTTCAGACTGAAGTTCAGTGAAGTGACTTCAGTCCGTATGCTCCTGTTCTGCCCACTATCCGGTTCGACCTGCCCATGCGCATGTATCACTGACGCGGTTGTCAAGCAAGCAAGGCGTCAAAGTTTGACTCAAACCCAATGGCAGTGGTTTGACGCCGATGGCAGTGTCATCAGCACCGTGTCACAGCCTTTTCTGCATTATCGGATCTCCTGGGGAAGCCAAACTGCTTCCATGAGTAGTGGCCACACGTCTTCCAGGCGTTCCAACAGCTCGGACAGCGCGTCCACCGTCGCTGGGCCTGTCAGCGTAGCCGGCACTACCAACGGCTACGGATTCCGCAGTGCAGGTGGCGATGCCTTATCAATCGAAATGCAATTTTTGAACCCCCGGAGACGCTTTCCACTCGCAGAGGAATATTTGCCAGATGTGCATGTGACGGAGGAACAGGTGGAAGATCTTCGAGAGACGTGTGAACAGCTCATCGCCGATGCTCTTGAGCTCACCAGCATGTTCGCGTGGGAGGACAGCAACAGCAACGAGCTGGTAGGCGAACACCGCCAACAATGGAAGGTACACTACCAGCGTCCACACGTAGCACTGTACCGCAAGAAGCGCGGGAAGGATGTCACCACAGACGAACAGGAGGACGCATCGGACGCCTCCAATGGCGGTTTGCGTCATTACGTCGTGAGTGGACAGATTCACGACATGAGTCTTGAAGATGTCGAGTACGGACTCTACTGCGACGCTACGTTGGATGAACGTGCCGTAATGACGGACTTGTATCGCGAACTCTTTCTTGACGCAGCTGTGCTACGCGGCTTCGAAGCACAGACCCCAGAAGATCCGTTCCACTTCTTCGGTGTCGAGTGGCTGGCCCATTTGAGCCCGGCCGACAAGTTCATCTCACCTCGAGACTTCGCCTTTGTTGAGTATTCGCAACGTGTAGTCGGTCCTAGGGGCGAGCCGCTACTGGTTAAGGTGCAGCGCTCTCTAGGTCCCGAACACGTCGATGCCATGAACCGCCGTGAATTTGACCTCGTACGAGCTCAGATGAATTGCACGACCGTGTATTGTCATGACAAACGTGCTAACAATGTCCAGGTGATCGCCCGCGGCTATCTAGATCCATGTGGGAGTGCACCGGCTATTATGACGCGGTCGTTCTTGACACGTTTAGCACCAACTCTTGTCGAGGTGGGGCACAGCGCTGACGTCAAGTACATTATGCGTCACGGACTAGTCCTGCCAAAAGAGCAGTTCTTTGCTCGTCGTAACGCCCTGAAAGCCCGCGGCCGCCACCGCTTACAGTGCACAGCATGCGGTAAACGCTTTGGTCGTCTAAAGCGGCACTTGACACAGTGCCGTGCGTGTGGTGAAGCAGCTTGTGGTCGGTGTCTCATGACGTTCACACTGTGTCTTCCACACCACGAGAGTCGTAGTGCTGAGCACCCGAGCGCAGTAATCCCCGAGCGCTTCTGCCTGCGTTGCTTATACTCTGGTCGACTTGATCGTAGGGGCCAGCGTATGGACGACTTCCTGCTTGGTGGAACATTGGCTGCATCCACGACCGTGCCGACCGTCGATGATGACGAAGAGATAGACGATGACGATGTATCTGTGGAGTTTGCGATGCTCGGCGACGGTCCTGGGGCAATGTACGCAGCCATTTCGGAAGCACAACGATTGCAGCGACTGAAACAGCGGTATCTGGACAATGAGAAGCGCAAATATCTCGGTGGCCACCAGCAGCGTTCAGTCATGGAGCAACAGCATCAAATGCACCACTACGAGCAATCTACTCGTCGTGTCCGTCCGCCCATAACTCGGAGAAGTAGCCAGCCAGTGAATGGCTGCAGCTCCGTAACTTCTGGCTCGATCTCGTCCGCGCACAATTCGGCTTCGTCGGCGTATAGTTCATTGTCAATAGGCAGCTCCACGTACTCGTCGGCTGAGGCTGCAGCAGCAGCCACAGCTGCACTGCAGGCCAACGCTGGTTTCCATGAAATGGAGCATTCCATCGGTGAGCAAGAAGCTTTACTACGCTCGCTACAGAACGAGTACGCCAAGATGAGCATGAATCGAGGCACACGACGAGCGCACTCGAACCCAAGTTTCAACGCACAGGAACTACGCGAGAAACGTCTGGCCGAATGGCAGGTTACTGAGCGTTTGAATGCCGTCACAATGCCGTCGCCATCGTCCAGCCACTATTATGACATCGATGACTAGAAAGAGAGTCATCTTCGTAAAGGAAGAAGTTAGCATATCCTTATAAATGTGATGAGCTTCGAAGACCCTGACAGCGATAAAAAGAAGAGTCTACTGGCTCCGAGAGATACAAACCTGAGCGCTGATGCTACTCCGTCTAATGTAAGTACATTTCTTCCTCCTCCCTTGCTGTTATCATCATAGATATTCCGCCTTCAATGCCTGAATCGACGTGATATCCGCATAGAAGTCGAATCCGAGTCCATCCAGTCGCTTTCTGTCTCGTTCCACGTACGACGAGTATGCGCCTGTGTGTCGGATCTTCATGAACGAATTTCCGAGCCTCAGTCCACGTGAGGCTTCAGGCCAAGGCTTTTCATCGGGAACAACAAAGTCAGCCGGTACCCAGCCGGATCTGTAGATTTGGTGGTACGTTTCCAGCGCCGGCAGGATCTTGTACGTCCATCGTTCGTCTTCCGGAGACCAGGTGAATCCAATCGCCTCCAGTTTGTCCTTGTCTCGCTCCGTCATGTCGTCGTAGTTGCCTCTGCAGCGAATATTGGCGACTGTCGCTCCTAGTCGCATCCCTCTCGTCGCTTTCGGCCACTGCTCGCTGTCCGGTACGACAAAGTTGAAATTCACATTGCAGTGTCCAAACTCGCGCTTAAACGCCTCCAAGGCCGGGAAGATCTTGGTCTCCCACATGCGAATACTCCACTTCTCCATGGAGAAGCCAATCTTCTCCAATTCTTCTTGAGAACTCTCTCGTTGGGCTTTGTAGGTACCGGCATACTTGACACTCATGACGGTCTGTCCGAGTTTGAAGCCCCATAGCAACTTCGGCCAAGCTTCATCCTCCGTAGGGACCACGTACTTGGCGGGGACATCACAATGGCCATTAATCTCACTGAATCTCCTGAGAGATGGCAACACCAGCACGTCCCACTTGCGCTGCCTCATATCCCAAGGAAAATCGAGCGCCTCCAGGTCGTCCACGGCGAAGAATGGGAGACATTTGCCCTGCTGCTTGAGCGCACGCAAGTTCTTGCAATACAAACCTAGCGGGTAGCCCCAAGTCTTCTCTGGCCATTTCGGGTCGCCACACGGCACTGTGAACCTGAAAGGTACCAGCAGGTGCTTCTCTAGAGTCAGAAAAGTTTGCAGACTCGGGGCGATTATTTCGACCCAAGCGCGTGCGCTGAACAAGTTTATTCGAGCGATACTGGCTGGATTGGAGGTGGACGAGATGGAAGCACATCGGATGAGACCAACTTTAACGCCTGGAGCGACGTATGGGCGGCATAACAAGCCTGCCCGCGTAGCCAAGAATGCGTGGAGCATCCTATTGACACACGAGTATGTGGCCACTGAAAAACACGAAATAGGGCACCGAATATTGGCTAGATGTACAAAGCGTTTCGCAACAGAAATACAAAAGTGGTAACTTGAAGTACGCAGACTTTAGGGATAATCTACGTGGACATGTACTGTATCCTAGTTTAGCATCGAGTTTTGTAAGAAAAAATGAACGGAAAAATCGACACTTAAATTTTGAAAGCCAGGTTCTCAGTAATTTTTTTGACTTTTTCAACACCATCTCCTCGTAAAATCCCTGAGCAATATTATTAATAAATGGATACAATTTGTATCGATGACGCAAAGTTACATGCTGCTGGATTAATTTTTATCTGGGAATCAGCAACGACACCGGTATTGGATTGCATGTACTTAATAAATAGGATTTCACAATTTAACGCAGGACAGTCACTCGGACTCAGAGAATTCTGAGTGGGCTACTTCTGAGCTGGCCGCTCTCAGTCTTAAGTTGAGACTCTCAGCACCCTTTAAAGCGATAACCAGTCTGCAAGGTCGATGGAGTCCATCTACCTTGCAGACCGGTTGTCGTTCATCATGGACAACATGTACCGGTAAGGAGGAAATACTACTTAACGTTACTTTAGGTTTAGATCTGGCATTAAGGCACTTGATTGAGCATCATTCTGTTGTCGTCAGCACACAGCGCCGGCTTGAGACCATGACGCCTTCATACATGGAGGCAGCTTTTGGAGAGGGCATTTGATGACTACAATTAAAGCTAAACCAATGCTGATGTTGTTCAGCAAGCCATAACACCGACAGCCTAGACAACCATAAGCGTCACCCATGCGAACGCAAGCGGAGGGGGTTAGAGCCTTCATTTCCCTCCATTGGACTGCAATTTGGAGGGGATTCGAGCTCAACCAGATGGCATTGCAGCGTTGAACCGGTACGGATCCCGTCGTAACATTGCAAAGCTGTGCTCAACTTACTGGCGGTAAGTTACCGCCAGGTTGGGAAGCAGTTTGTACATCAGCTGACGAAACAGTACATGTACATGTAGTACGTGGTCCAGCGCTCATCCTCAAAGGCCAAGAATGCACGATGCTTTCAGCGTGTCAGAAAGCGACTTCGTGTGTCGTATGGAGGCGAATAAGGTCTCACACTGTGATTCACAGTCCTGCCGTAAAGATTCACCACGTGAAGGAACATCTGGGTATTGTACTGTACCTCGTGGAGCTGCTATTTAAGATCCAAGCTCGCACTCGGATTGTGCAGTACAGTGTACATTGTACACTTGTCACTACATGTATTTGACATGGAGCACATGAATCAAGTTCGTCGCACTTCCGATCAACGATCCACTACATGTACGAGTAATACTTGGAGAATTGATCCTTGTTGCACTGCCGTTTTCGATATTTCTTCTACCATGAATGCAAAGCACCTGCAACGATCAAGTACTGCACACGTCGATTACAATACCAAGTCTTAATTGCAATATTCACCCCGGAGCATGGCTAAGCTTCCATACTTAAAACTTCACGGCACTTGTTCTAAATCGCGGGTACTTTTCAAAAAGCCACCGAGCCACCTCCGCATGACCACCGATCAACGCGTCACGTACCGCTCGTCTAGTGCACCCTCCAATGCAGTGTTCATGCAAGAAGCGAAGGACATTTAAGTGGCCGAACCAAGCCGCACCGTCCATTGCTTCCGTCGAACAGCCTTCAAATCGATGCTCATGTAGCCACTTCACAACGTCCAAATGGCCACAGCGGGCTGCAGTGTCCATTGCGTTCTGAGTGCACCCTTCACTGCGATTAAAGTGAAGAAACAAGACGACATCCAAATGTCCAGAGCAAGAAGCCGCATCCATCGCCTCGGTAGTGCATCCCTCGGAGCGATTCTCGTGAAGAAACCGCACAATAGCAAGATATCCACCACCAGCCGCTCGATCGATCGCTCTCTCGGTGCAGCCTTCACTTCGGCTTATATGTAAGAACTCAACAACATCGAGATGTCCACCACCTGCAGCGGAGTTCATTGCCCAGGGACTGCAGCCTTCACTGCGGTGAGAATGCAGGAACTTGACGACGTCCAGATGACCTTCGGCAGCCGCGTAGTCCTTTGCTAGGTACGAGCAGCCCTCGCGGCGACGTTCATGTAAGAACTTTACCACTTGCAAGTGGCCTCCTCGTGCAGCGCCGTCCATCGCGTTGTTGGTGCATCCTTCAGAGCGATGGTCGTGCAAAAACTCTACAATCTCCAAGTATCCCCCACGTGCCGCGCCATTCATTGCATCCGTGGTGCAACCGCCCGTCGTGTTCATATGCAGCCACTGGACCACGTCGAGATGTCCGTATTCCGCTGCGTGGTCCATCACTAGAGGTGAGCTGTCTTCTGCGTCGGAGGCTAGCAGTGCCTTTCTTTGTGTTCAAAGAGCCATTTGAGCAGCTCGAGATCCCCACGCTTCGCTGCGAACACCATGGCGTGGATACTGCATCCTTCGCTACGGTGTTTATACAACCAATGTACCATTTGGGCTTTAGCGTACCATACCGCAAAGTTCATGGCATACTTGGTCTCCCCTTCGTCACGGTGAGCGCCTAACCACTCGACAACTGCGACGTGTCCTCTAGCTCCTGCTTCATCGATGGCATGATGAGAGCACCCTTCACTCCGGTTATCATGTAGCCACTGCACAACTTTAAGATGTCCGTTTGCCGGCTTGCAAGTCGGGGAGGGTCTTATCCAGCCACTTAACCACTTCCAGTTGACCGTGCTCTGCCGCGTGATCCAGTACTCCTCCATAACCCTTGAAGTCAGGGTCATACACTGCTAACCATTGCAGCAATGCAAGGTCACCTCGTTGTGCTGCCGATAGAAAGCAACTACGGTTTGATAGCGGTCGCAGACGTCGTGAAGTGGCGTCAAGTCGCTGCAACAGATGCAAATATCCAAAGTCCAGAGCTTGCGGAATGTTCCAGAGCTGCGAGCTGTCCAAGTACGCCGAGATCAGAGCAGCCACATGCGGGAGGAAGCCCAACGTCTCCTGTCGCTCACGCCACACGACGCTCACGCATGTAAGCAGCGGCTTCCGAGTCGAGACCATCGAGAGGAGGTGGGCTGATTTGCAATAGTACACTGTGGATTTCCGTCCAGAAACGATACGAAAGGGTGCACTGAGCGCAATGATATCATTGCCAAGACTATGAGCACGATGCAAACACGCTTGTCGTAGCTAAGAGCGTATCTAGTGTCGTTTCATCTAGCCATTGCCTGCTTAGAGCCACTGCTGTGTTTATCGTAACCTTTTTAGTCGCGTAGGTCTGGCACTGACGATCGAAGGTGCGATTGCTGGCTTGGCTGTCCCTACCACTTCACTTTTCGTGCCTGACTCTGTTGTTTTAGCCTCGGATTGTATCCTGGATGCGGGGGCGCTCTTGCTGTTTGCGGCACTAGCGCCGACGCGACGAGTTTTCGCGGCAGGTGGTCGGTCAATGAGCTTAGGCAGAGGCTGAGCGGGGAGGAACGTCAACGCCACGGACCTGAGGAATTTCAAGGGTTAGAATAACTCTCATCTGGGATAAATGCAAGAGAACGAAGCAATTCTCACTCAATGTCATCTTTCAGCAACGGAGTCTCCAATTGTTTCAGCTCGCCGCCAGTCCGATTCTTGATTGCCAGCTCCACTAACCGGCCAATGCTAACACGTCGGACATAAGGACATGTTAGTCAAAGCCAGCAATGAATAAAATAAGACACACCGTACTTGTGATAAGCAACAAAGTTGAGGAACTCGAGCGACGCGCGCGAGATCTTTCCGAGCCCCAACCACTCGCGGAATTGCTGCGCCTTGTTGTTCATGAAATTCAGTTTGCGGCCTCTCGCGAACACGTCGTAGATAGACCAGTCCATCTTCTTTGTGCGCTCGTCGGCGAAACGTATCCGCTCCTGTACACACCCAATTAACTCAAGTTAGTACACACAGTAATGGATTTCCCAGCCATTAACAATGTCCGACGCACCAGAAACGCCTCGTTAAACACGTCCTCAGCCTCAGACACAGCAAATAGGTCCAGCTCTTCTGCCAGTTCTTCTTCCTCCACTTCTTCCAGCTCGTTCTCTTCGTGCTTCGTCTCGCCACGGAATTCCCGCCAACGCCCGTAATATATTGCCTCTTCCTCAAATATTTCCACTAGTGTCTGCAAGTAATAAAAAAACAACGTTGTAAATAACGAGACCATGGCGTCATTTAGGAAGCTACATCGTACCCTCAAACACGACGAAGCCGTCAGCACCTCCGGGTTCACTGAGCCTAAAACCTTCCGCATGTGGTCACCAACTATGGCCAGATAACACACAACATCAGCGTCAGTAAGCTCCACACACCTCTTTCTACACAGCCGACTCACCCAGGGCCTGCACCTCTTCCACAGCAGTCACACAGGATTTGGTACTGTCACCAAACGTGCTCATCATGGAGCTGATAGTGTGCAGCATCAAAGACGCCTTCTTGCCCTTCTTGCTCGTGTTATGCTTCACTCCACACGCGCACATTTCTTCAAAGAACTCTCCTTCCGCCACCTGCCAGCGCGACTTAAACTTGGGCTTCACGTGGGTATAATGCGGCACCTGTGCTGGCGCAACATAAGCACTGTTCGGGTGCTTGGGCAGAGCTGTCCCATCCTCTCCAGTCACAGCGGAGCCTGCCGAACGTAAACTTCTCTGCTGCAGCATCTTGAGATAAGGATCGGACTTGACAGCCATTGCAGGGTCCATAGGAGGTTCCTTGTCTACCGACTTGGACTCATCATCAGCAGCTGACTCGCCCTTGGACTCCGCAGCACTCTGTTGCTTGCGTTGCCGCTTGTCACGAATGTAGCTCAGCATTTTCTTCTTCTGATCCAGTGGCAAAGTCTTCCACGCATTGGTCTACACGTATTTGATGCATTAGTGAGGCCACTTGTGACACGGCTAAATTTGGCTGTGTGTACCTCTTTGTAGGGATATTTGCACTGAATGGCATGGAACAGTCGATGCACTTGCTCCAGCAGAGGCAGTCTCGCTAGATCTCGCAAACCGTACTCATTCTCGGCCCCGAGGGAGTCCTCGTCAGTGGTGGCCGCGAGCTCCGCCATTATTTTTCGTTTCTTTTAGGAATGTCCACTTCGCAAAAAAAGAGGCTCCAAATTTATGGAGCTGCTCTAAAAATAGAACAGATGCAACTCACAAAAACACTCGTTTTGTGTAAGGAAATACTGTAGGCCCTTGCTACTCCTTCCGAAAAAAAAACACTGAAGTCAAAGCCATGTTTTTTTATCTTGCTCATATTATGTAGCTCTATCCATGTTATGCAGCACGAGTGCATGTCTATATTTCGAGATTTATCTTCCATCGCGTTTTTGGTCGATGGAGTTCGTGCACGTACCCAAGTATCGATATCGAAGATACGGCACCGGCTTGTAAAGGCTCTTGTGCCACGGAGTACGAGCAAGTGTCAGCTCCAGTACGATCAAGCATCACAGTTCACAGTTGTCGCTGTCTTCTTGAAGACACGAGGTAAACTTGCAGTGGTTGAGCTCGACGTTCATTGGTAGCAGCGGTTTTACAACCTCCTTGATTGTATTCTCCAGCCTTTTGTAGTTTTTTGTGCCTTGCTGGGGATCAAACAGCAGGCTCGGACTTGAACATCTTTGTGGTAGGTTAACCAGTGCGCACCCCCGAAGTTTACTATACCGATTCTATCCGTGTTTGCTTGCGAGAAAGCATTGTACGCGTTCACCACTTTGCGCTTCTGTCAGGCTCCCTTTGTTTCGCAAATGATGGACTAACAACGCCAGTATTGCCATACTTGACAGCGAGACTGTGCATGGATGTTAGTATAGATGTTGCAGAGAGCCAATGACAGTAGCGACAGCTAAGCAGTCGAAGGCCATCGATGGCCTCGGTATCAGCAACCGACAAGCACTCGTTATAGCAATATCCACCTGAAAGCAGCTCGTTAATTTATTCAGCCTTTACGCTATACTCTGTTGCGCTTGACGCACACAGCTTTGCAACTTTGCGCAGCGCTAGCTGCGCTGAGCTTTATCGAAATTTTTGCTAGCATTTCTCGAGAGGTTTTTTGCTCCTCACGGGCTTACTGAACTGGTAGGGCACTTCGTCCTTTGGCTGATTACACTTGGCGGTGTTGATGTCGATGGCAGGAGTCTTGTGCCTCGGGTCGTCGTGCTGTTCGCTCAATCTCTCGTCGCTGGGCTCGAAGCCCAAGCAAGCGCGCGCGGCGCTCAGCAGCGCTTCTCCACTGCAAGATCCTTCACTCTCGTCGCTCTAGGCTCACGGGTAAGCACAACAACATGTTCACTCAGCGTTCAGCACCACTCGAACCAAGCACGGACGCTCCACCTACTATTTACGGGTCGATTTGGGGAATGACGGATAAATCTATAAAACTCTGAGAACAGGCTTCCCCATCTCGAATTTGCTCACTTGTCTCATAAACACACTGGTGCTACCTCAAAACACACTGCTCCTACCGCATTCCGGTAGGAGGAAATACCAGAAACACCAGCATTTTTTTTGGTCAGCACCTCATAATCAGCAGGAGCACCGGTGCAAAACATGAACCGTATTCTTCCCATCAACTCCCGCTGCTTTTCAGCCACACACATAGACCTACCGTATGAGGCAAAATAATGTATAATGTGTTGTGTAGACGACTGTACTATGCTCTGTCCCAAATTCTATTCTCACAACAAGACCGTCCAAGCGCCAGCTACTCGCGCGGTTCCAGAAGGCCTCAAGAGGACGTCCGAGACCGCAGAGCGAGCACCGACACGCCCGGAGGTGGCGATTGCTTGACCCCTAGTCCACGATCTTCTAGGCTACGATAGTGTGCGGTGTTCTGGTAATAAAATGGTGGATTTTATCAACGAGTTGTGTGATCTTGCGAAATGTGGAGATTATGGAAACAGCAGAGTTATGATTCCGCGCATTGTAGCCAAGATTTCTGCTTCCGCTGACCGCTACGTTGACGGTGGGTTCTCATGGAGCGACGCGGTTAGCAGCGAGGCGCCTGCGTTAGTCTTTCGAGGAGCCTGTAACGATGTGGCACGCTTTCGCAAACAGGAACGACTTCCCGAAGCGCCTACCCACTTCAATTACTTACTGCGCGTGATGGATATGCGTGCCTATGTTCAGCGTCGTGTTGAGAGCCTATGGGAAAAGAAGATTCCAACCCCTTGCGATCAACTCATAGTCAATCTTCCTGGATACTACTCTAAGCTGGTATTTCCTGCCGATGAGGCCTACGTGTACCCTGTGGAGTCATGGCTTCAAAGCGGGAATCGAATCTCGCCGATTCACGCAGACCATGGTCGTGTAGTGTCGTATATACCTCCAAGCCTCACGCACACCTTCAAGATTTGGGTGTTCTTCAGAACGCCTAAGTGTGCAGAATTGTTTAGTTTTGAAAACGGAAACGACACTTTCAATCGCATGATCGACACAACCAAATCGTGCGTACTAGTGCAGCGCCCGGGTGATGTGGTTTATTTGAACATGCTGGTATATCATTCTGTTCTACTTGGATTTATCCACGGTACGCCGGATCACCTAAGGTGGGGGGCCATTTCTGGCAACGTGATTATCAGCGCTAAGGACAGATTGGCATCTTTTCGCTACGCTACTCGCGTTACCTCGGGCGCTCGGCGTGGCTCACTGAAAGTATGGGAGTCGACGTTGTCAGCGTATTGCGCCATGGAGAAAAGAGAATGGAAAATGAAAGAGTGTAGGGACGAGAAGGCGCGACAGATATACTTCGAGCGTGAGCGCGCCCATTTTCTTTCCCAACTTCCTACGCCAGCTGCGACGAATTACGCGCGCAATGCAGCGACTACTCGGTCATTGAAAAGCCGCACGAAGAAGAGCATCACACTGGACAAAATGAAGAAAATGCGAGCAGCGAAGAGGACAAACGCTGACACGAGCGATTCGGTGGAGCAACAGTAAGAACGTACTAGATAATCTAAATTTAGGTGTGTTCTTTTCGTTTTTTATTGTTGGGAACTCGTTGAAGTGGTAAAGTATGCAACTTCAACGTCTTAATTTCTTGACGTGGCAGCCCCGTCAAAACATCCACGACTCCGCTGCATATAGATGTGCTATAATATATGTAAGTTTCTTGTCAACTAAATATAAAGACACCTTCACGTAAGACGTTAGAGTCATCTTTACATTTCGTAACGTGTCCAATTAGTTCACTTCATGAATGTATTCACATAACTAGCAGCCCAAACAAGTATTGTTATAATTGATGTGATGGGCTCGCTGGATTACTTTGTAGGTATGTGGAAGCGGGTTTTGTAAAGAGCAAAATTGAAGAAAGAGTAAAAGAAGTCATTGCGTAGTTTGCGTTTAGCGTCAATATTATCACTTGAATTTTTATTTAGCTAGTAGCCCCGATAACGCATGATACGTTTAGCGTTCATCAAAGGGTGCCTGTATTTGACGGAATGTTTGGCTGTATTTTTAAAAGAGTGAAGTAGGCGAAAGCTGAGGTGGGCTCACGTGATGACCAGTCTTACGTAATAAAGACGCGGTAGTGACAATTGGTAAGTTATTCCACATCCCTGACTAAGCTAAACCATTAAAGATTATTGAGAGAACACGGGAGCTCGTATCGCTGCAATGACTAAATATCGTGAGCCGGTAGCACCCCGGAATTCCTGCGAGACATGGCATTTAAGAGCAACGCAAAAGGAAATTTCTGAACGAACTCAATAATGGAGGAAATTAAGTGAATACAAGTATGACATGATATAAGCATACGTAAACTGACTTGAGCACCGTCGAGATTTATGAAGCAAAGACGTTAGACATTTAAAATCTCCTTCAATCTAGATCCTACTCCATCTCTAGTGCCGCACCACTATTGCGTGGGCGCCCGCGGGAGCTCTGTCCCTTTTTGCGACCGGATATTCCTCGATTGACAAGTGTCTGACGTCCAGTGAGATCCATAGTTCCACAGCATTCCATCGCGTAGAGTGTGTGCACACAATAGCCGTGCTTCATCGAAAAGGGACAAGGGCACTTACCCGAATTCATGTCAATCAGCCACCCCTTCGAAGGCATACCAAGCGTTTCCATTGCAGCAGTCAGTTTGCTCAGCCGGGCTGTAACGGGTAAGTCCTCAACGTTGCGTCGGCGAATCTCATCCTGTACACGCGGGCACGGCTTGCTAATAACACGGACTGTATCCAAAGGCTCGGCCTCAGTCGTGGTAGCTAGCAAAAATGCGATACTGTTCCGAGACTGGTGGTGTAGCTCAAGCAAGCCCGCCCGCGACATCGCCCGAGCTCGACGAACCAACCGAGAATCTGGCTCCGGGGACACGGCAAATGGTCTTGCGGTGACAGCTTCACTTCGGCAAAGAGTAAGTAGCTGGGGCAGTAGGGCGCCGACCTTCAGCTTTCTGCGGAGCGTGACATCTCTCTTAATCGCTGCATTGTACGTCTCGCATGGATTGTTCGTTGTCGCAAAACCACTCGGTGTATGGAAACATTGCCAACGCCACACCCTCTCGTTCAGCCAGACCTTTGAGAAATAGGAAGAAAATTTCGCCAGTTCCGGAGTTTTTGACCATCTCGCTTGAGCTTCTCCTAGCTTCGAGTTGTAGGCCGCCTCATCCGTCGAGAAATGGAGCTCATGAATGTATTTCATGACAGAGGAGGCCGCAACAGACCCCAACGAGCGAGTTTTCTCGTATACCTTCTTTGCCACATGAAAGTAGCACATCAGAAATACAAATTCCCCCCCCTTGCCCAAACACGTCGTTCACCGCGTTCCATTGGGCTGCGTCAGCATCTCCCATCACATAGCTTTCCCGGAGAAATTTACCAACTATAGTTTGGTACATCTTACACACGAGCGCAAGCACCTCGGTGTAGTGTAGTTGCTGCTGTTGCGAGACAATAAATATTGCCAGCAAATGAAATCGTCTTGCCCTGTCCGAGATCCCGACAACGATAACTGGATACCCGACCTGCGTGAGCTTGTAGGTCGCGTCCAAGTGAAAGATGAAAGACTCTGGATCACGGTCGGCACGGCGTAGGAGTTTCTTCGAGCTAACACCGACCACAAACGGATCAGCGTCACTGCCATTGTCAGTGATTGGCTTGCCGTCTGTATCACTGCGGCTTGTGAATGTGAACGGAGCTGCTTCATCTTCGTGTCCCGTAAACCCTGAGTCCTTGATTTTTCTGCGTACGGAGTCCAGAAGGTCACTTCCCCCAAGCCGTCCCGTAGCATGGTGATGCGCAAAACGCTGCACAGTTGATAGAGAAGGCGCAGTCGCCTCGGTCAGGTTGAAACGCTGAAGAAGTGCATTATAGATGCGCTTGGGCTTCAGTCCCTGGGCTGCCCAGTCCTTCACCACCTCCTTCATTGGTGGGGTCAGCACCAGCTTGCGTGGCGAGCGTGCTGGAGTGGCATGGGTGTATGCCTCCTCGACCGTCACAAAGCCTTGCTCTTGACAGGACATGACCCGGGCTCGCCACGGACACTCTTGTGCCGACGTTACGTCAGCGCAAGCCTTGCACGCGCAAAACAGGCGCTAAATTCTCATGGGATGCGGAGCAGGGGCCATGCATACGGAGCACGGGGCCCGCTCACTCTTCGCCACCCTAGTCTGCTTGAAACCATCCAGAAGGTTCGCTGCCTGGACGCATGGCATTGCTGAGGCGAGAAGCTGCCAGGGGTGTCGAATGGTCATTTCAAAATGAAGGAGCTGGAAGAATGAGCTTGATGCGGCTGGTTGGAAAATGATCTTGCCTTAACCCCCCCCCCTCGCCGGGGAACTGCGCTCGTTGGACGATATTTCTGTGACGATCAGGCTGGGGATTGGGCAAAATTAGCGATTGAATTATGGTTGGTGCAGGACGTACTATTGCGGTGGTCAGTCTTAAAAATTGGTGATGCTCGTGATATTACTGTGCTAGCCGTGCTTTAGCGGTGCCGATAGTATAGTTTTGGTGTTTTCGTGTTTTTATTGGTGTAAACAGTACGTCCTCTTCCGGTAGGAGCAGAACTTCTTAAGGAAATACAGCTCCAGAAACAACACGAAACTGGAGTGTGGTCCACATTGACGGTCTAAAAATACTTTTAATAGTTCAAGTAGCACCTGTGTGGTCCACATTTTCGCTGACGCAAATTGCGGAGACGTGAAATACGTCTCAACAAAATACACTGGATTGATTACATATTTTTGAAAAGTTAGAATATCGGTTGTAAAAATTAGAGTTTAAATTCAGAAGTATCCGTCATGTCTACAAGTAAGAGCCTCTCCTAAGCTCACCGCTCACTCTAATTAGTCATGCCATGACTAAGAATGGTGTTGAGGTTGGAGCACAATTTTTTTTGGAATTAAGTTGCCAAAACTACTCGCTCTTATTTCAAACCAAGCATACTAAAATAAAGTAATCGCAGAGATCTTTCCGAAAGCAGTGTTTTCGTTTAGAATTGAAGAGTCTTCTAAAAAATCCCACACTAATGACGTCACTAAAGCGCGAATGCACG